ATTATATATATGTATGATGCACACATGAAACAAAGCAACTGTACCAGACAATATATGTAATGTATCATTGAGCCTATAACGTATAGAAATGTACCATATAGAAATATTTATTAATAGAGTACAGCAGAAGTCAGTAGGAGCAAAACTGAATTGGGCTAAAGAAATCATTCCAGATGGTAACTTGAATCAACAAGAACAAGAAATAAAGAGAACCAGAAATGATCAATAAGGTCAATATAACAAAAGCTATAAATATGTTCTTCTTTCTTCTTCCAGCTTCTTTAAAAGATATAACCATTAGCCCAGCCAGTGTGGTTTAGTGGTTGGTCAGTGCAGCACATGCTCAGGTTTCAGGCTCTGTCTCCAAAGGGGGACATGCAGGAGGCAGTCAAGCAATGATTCAAGCAATGATTCTCTCATCATTGATGTTTCTACCTCTCTATCCCTCTCCCCTCCTCTCTGAAATCAATAGAAATACATTTTTTTAAAGAAGATGTAACCATTATAACAATATATTGTGAGGTTTGTAACATTTATAGATACAATATGTATAATAATTATATCTTAAAAAGCAGGGAAACAAAACTATATTGGAATAAAATTCTTCAATCTTATTGGAATTAAGTTGTTGTAAATCTGGTGATGGCTCTAAGAGATATATGGCAAGTCCTAGAACAACCAACCACTAAGGAATTAACTTTTTTAAAAATGAAAAGAATCAATTAAAAAATTAAACCGCTATAGGAGTAAATATTCACTTAATTTAATAAAAAGCAGTAAAGAAGGGATAGAGGAACACAAAAGATATGAGACATACAGAAAACAAAAAGTAAAAATGGGACACATAACTCAACTATATCAGTAACATTAAACATAAATGGAGTTCACAGCCCTGGCTGGTGTGGCTCAGGTAGCTGAGCACTGTCCTGTGAATTGAAAGGTTGCTGATTTGATTCCCCATCAGGGCACATGCCCAGGTTTTGGGCTCAATTCCTGCTAGAGGTACATGTGGGAGGCAAGTGATGAATGTTTCTCTCTCACTTTCTCTCTCTCCTCCTAAAAATTAATAAAAACATTTTAAAAATAAATAGAGTAATCTAATTAAAAGGTAGATCCATAGATTAGGCTAATATATATATATATCTGCATACTGTATAGAGGAAACACACTTTAGATTTGATGGTACAAATTGTGTAATTAGCAACCATAATAAAGTTGTAATGTCAAGCAAAATTATTTTAAATGTTAATAGAGAAAAATAAGGACATTTTTGTAATAAGTGTCAATTCAACAGGAAACTGTAACATTTATAAACATGTATTACTTAATAACAGATAACCAAAAAAAGTGCAGCAAAAACTCACAAAAATGAAAGTAGAAATGGACAACTTAACAATAAATGAAGTCTTTAAGACTCCACATTCAGCAGACATCTAAGACTGAAATGTAAGGACTAAAACAGAACTCATCCTCCCTCATCCCCACCCACCTTTAAAATCTGCTCCTTCATTTTCTCTGTAAGTGGCAATTATAACCATCCAATTGCTCAGGTAGTAACTTAAGTTTCTGACTCTCACATCCCACATCCAATCAATTTGTGAATTTTACAGCTTGTTCTTTCAAAATATATCCAGAATCCAACTACTTTTTCTACTTCCACTGTCATTCAAGGGATTACTGAATTATATTCCTAACTGGATTCCACCTTTCCACCCTGAGCTCTGTTATCTATCTTCACACAACAGCAAAGTGAACCTTCTATACAAATTAAACGTCAAATTTTAAATGAAATCCAAATTCTTTCCAGTTTTATTTTTTCCTTCTTTAACCACTACATTCTCTTTACATTTAACTGCTGTCCTCAGCAAGTTATTAACCTGAATTTATTATAAACCCTATTTTAAAAATATCATTAATATATGTATAAATGTATAAAAAAGTGAGACAGGATAAGCCCTATTATAAAATGTGAATAAGTTATTTATAGGTAGTATAATTATAGACAATTTTCATTTTTCCTTATTGCAAAAATTTTTTTTAATATATGTAGTATTTATGCTTTTATGTATTACTATGTAATAAACTGTATAAAAAGCTATGTATAAAATCCCCACATCCAGTGGTGATAGCATTTAGTTATATATGAAATTTGGAAATAAACCATGTGGATTACAGAAAAAAAGAAACAAAACCCAAAACAAACATTGCCTACAGACAAAGCTTATATTTACTAATATATGTTCCAGCCACTTTCATTATTTCATTTAATTCTTGTAATAACTCTATGTGATGAGAATTATTTTTGTGTTAGTAGTGCAAAATGAGGCCCCAAAAGGTTTCTAGTAAATACGTTGAAGTTGCAGAGCAAGTGGAGAAGCCCAGGTCTCTCTGGCTTGAATGGTCATGCTCTAAATATAATTCTAGATATTGCCTCATCATACTCATATATAACAATGCAAAACTGAAAGGACAAACAACCAGTAACAAAGGAAAGGGGCATCATGTAGTTATAAAAGTGTTTACTAAAACTAGAATAATGAAAAAACTGATGGGTATATTACATGAAAAAGGGAAATATCGCATTTCATGCACGAGCACAAGAAAATTTAGTATTTCATATGGAAATAGGCCAAAATACACCAATATGTTAACGTTGGCTCAGTTTGGGCAATGGTACTGGGGGGGGGGGGGGGGGGGTGTTTCCTTTTGCTTTTACATTCTAGATTTTCATGAACCCATCAGAACTGCTTTAAAACAAACAACAACAAAAGTTAAATTGAAACAAAGAGTAGTTTTTGTTCTGTAATAAAGGAATTACAGCCCAGTATGTTCCCAAACGGCTACAAATTCCAAATCTAGATTTAAACTAGATAAAAACTTAAGTTTTATCCAAAAGGCGATCTGGGGACTCTTTCATAGACCAGTTTCCTTCGAAGGATTTTGTGGTGCTCTTCACTTTTGTTAAAGCCTTTTCCACGGGAGGAAGTTAATTCAAAGGCATTATCAAACTATTTCTGGAATGTGTATCTTGTACGAAAGTAATAATGCTTGAAAGAAACGATAGCAAGAAAAGTCGAAATGTTCAAAAATGCAAGTTTGTCCCCAAAACCCCGTCTCTGGACCCGCAAACTTGTTCGGTATTGTTTGGGGGTCGGAAGGCGGGGGACGCCAAGCGCTTAGCTTTCACCATTCTCTCCAGCAAAACAGTCCCCGCTTTACTGAACGCGGCTGCCGGAGGTTCTAGGGGCGCGGGATTCTCTGGTGGGTGGGCCTCCGCCAGGGCCCGAAGGTGGGAAACCGCCCGGCTGTAATGGCGGCCTCAGTGCGGGACTGACGGGGACTGAGGAGCTGGCTCGGATCCACGGAGCAAACGCCTGCCCGGAGGGAGCACGAAGGCACCGACCACAAGCAGGAAGTCCTGCCTGGACCCGTAGCTTCAGGGCCGGAACTGCAAAGGACTGCAGACCCGCCCACCCCTTCCTGCTACGCACGGCACGCACGCACTCACGCATTCACGCGACTTCCTGGGCGGGGCGTAGCGGGGAAGCGCCAGTTCGGTGATTTTTTCCTAAACTGCTTTCCCTCTGGGGATTTATGCCTAAACTGCTTTTCTGCCAGGCTGGCTAGGAAAGGGATTTTGCTAAGCAGATTTCCAGAGCGGAAGTTCCTGAATTGGCGGAGGAAGAACAGAAAGAATGAAAAGTTGAGGTTATAGTTTGAAAATGAAGTTTGTTGCTTCATCAACACTTGCTGAATTGTTACAGGACAATAAAAGCTAGGAAAACTTCAGGGCAAGAGGAATAGGGAAACTGAGGAAGGAAAGTTAAAACAAGGCCAAACACTGGGGGCAATTTGAAGCCATTATCTTCCCCAGCCAAGGATTCTAGAGAGCAAATGGTTTAAAAGTCTCCCTAAGGAGAGAATGCTAGGAAGGAAGGGGAAAGGGGGTAATTTTATTTTTTGCTCCTTGAACACAAGCTAGAAGGGTCAAGGCTTAGCAAGGTCAGCATATATCATTTGACCTATTTGCATATAGGGTTTATATAGATAATTTATTATTTTTGTTATTTTAATATAAAAACCAAACTCAATTGTTTTTAAGAATGAAAGTAATGGTCACCCTGCTTCCAGGTGCCGGAGTAAGGAGAATGGTACTCCTCCCTCCCCCCTCAGAGCGATATAAAATCCTACACGGTGCTGAAAGCTCTCCAAGAGTCAATAATGTTTTTTATACAGTATTTCATCTAGTCCCATTACTGTAGCCCATTATTATAGAAAAACATAGACAATTTGAACCAAAAATATTACTTAAAACTTCAATTTACAGAACCAGTGACTCTAACGACTCCTATCATTATCCCTGGATTTGGCAAAAATTGAAGAAAGTTCATGTTTTAAGTAAATGTATCAATAATGGTTATATATTAAAATACATTTACGTTCTAAGTGCAGCTCTAACTTCCCAGCATTCTCAATATGCCTTTGTACAAACTTTTCCCTTAATGCTACTTCTGGTTGAATTACCCAGCCGGTAAAAAGGCATCCAGCGCAGCTCAAGCAAAATCACCTTTTTGTTTGCCATAGACTGAGAATTTTTACTCCACTGCTGGACCTAGTGAAAACACATGATGCGGACCTCTCACTGACTGCCTTTCCTTCCTCTCCAGCAAGGTCCATTGCAACGTTGACTAGCACAGAGCGCAGGCCGGTCCCTGGGTCTCGAACCCTTAACAGGCGCCACACACACACACACACACACACACACACACACACACACACACACACACACACCCCGCGCGCCGCGCGCCCCACCCTCGCCTGGGGGAAGTTGCGTCATCACGCTAGCAGGCCCTGCCCCCGGATGCGCTCTTATAGCTGGGTTCTCAGCGCGGACTCAGAGCTCCACGGTGCGCTGCGCGCTGGCACATGCGCGGCGGCTCCGCTCCGTCTTCCTCCCCTTGCTGTAGGCGCCAGCGTCCGGGCCGCCGCCGCCGCTTAGAGTCAGGAAGTTCAAGATGGCCGCCGCGGAGGCTCCGTGTCTGCGGGAACAGTCCGAGTAAGTCCCTATCCGTATTACCGGAGGCCGGAGCCCCGGGGGCTGCCGAGTGGCAGACGGTGGGCGCTTGCACTGGCGGGCGGGAAAGTCCAGGCCTAACGGCGAGAGCCAAACTTTGCTTTTGCCCGCGCGATACGTGGTGGGGCGGGAAACGTGGGGCGCCGCGGCCGGCCTGCGAGTTCGGCTCCCGGAGGCTGCGGCGTCTGTTGGGTCGGAGGTGGCCGCGGCCTGCCGCGCGTCGTCCCTCCCGGAGGCATGGGCGCGGGCGGCCTCACAGCTCCCGCGCTCCGGGCGGCTGCGGCCACCGTGCGGTCGCGCCTTCCTAGTCCTCCCACCCGGTGCGATCGGCGGTCCCGGGCCGCCGCACTCGAAGCCGCGGTGCTGGGGATCCGAGGAGCAGTGCAGCCCCCGGGCCGGCCCTGAGACGTTGCTTCCTTCCGCATGCAGTGCCGGTCGTCCTGCTGCGGGGGTCAGCTTTAGAGCCAGAAAACTGAGAGGAGGAGGGGGGCTAGGGTCACTCGCAGCTCTAGTTTGTGCACTTCATCTCGCCACCCCTCTGCTCTTTACTCCGTCATCCACCCGATATGTTATTGGCCGCTTATTTGCCAACTTGTAAACGTGAGACAAAGTAAGGCCAAGTCCTTGGGTGGAAGGCCTGGCATTTTTGGCCTCACTATAACGCTTCTCAGGGAGAACCCTGGAAGTCGTAGTGGAAGTTGTCAGCTCCTTCAGACCCAAGCACTTTATAGATAAGCTAACGTAAGAATGGATGTGGCCAAGTGGAATACATACCTTATATGTTACAGAAGCTAGCCATTGCTTAACTGAAATCAGGGTATTTATTTTTCGTGTTTATGTTAGGAAATCTCAAACAAGAACATAAAAGAGATTGGATTTTAAAACAATATTCTTATATCGACTGTTTTTGCATCAGCATTATCTGACTTGTTTCCAGCCATTTTAGAAAAGCGGTAGATATATCCCAGCAACTTGGGATTGAGAGATAGGAGAAATCTTTGCCACCAGACAGCCCAACACTTCATTGCTGTGCAACCAGTGGGACTCCTCAATCATTTGCTTTACTCAGCTAGACAGTGAAGTTTTTCATTAAGGATCTTTGAATTTGAAAGTTGTGTTATCATAATCACAATTTGACTTAGAGCACATGTGTCAAACACAAGGCCCGCGGGCCAAATCCGTCCCGCCAGGCCTTGCAATGTGGCCCACACCACGCTGTCATCACTGCACTCCGCTGCGTTTCCATCACAATGACAGTTTATGACTGTTCAGTAAACCATTCGGCCCGCGATTTAGGCTGGATTTTAGATTTTGGCCCCTTCTCTGATTGAGTTCGACACCCCTAATTTAGAGGATAGCAAATGGAGTCTACAGTTTTAACTAGACTTTGTCTCATTTTGTTCTCATCGAGGTCATAGTGTGGCACCCTTACAGTGTTTATGCCAGTACAGTACAGATCTTATGCTTTGCAGTGGTTGAACGGAGAAGTCTGGGTTTGATTCCCCGTCAGGGCACATGCCCAGATTGTGGACTCATCTATGTTTCTTTCTCCCTCCCTCTCTCTAAAATCAATAAGAAATATTAAAAAAAAAAAAAAAATTAAAGTCCTTGCTCTGACTTGTTTGGCTCAGTGGATAGAGCATCAGCCTGCGGACTGAAGGGTCCCGGGTTCGATTCCGGTCAAGGGCATGTACCTTGGCAGACACATCCCCCCCAGTCCACAGGCTGATGCTCTGTAGTCACTGAGCAAAACCAGCCAGGGCTAAACATTTACATTTTTACATGCATTGACTTGTTTGTACTTACCAAGTACCAGGAACTGCTCAAAGCACTGAACAAATATATTAACTCATTTAATCCTTATGGCCCGATGGTGGTATATACTATTATTTCCCATGTTTTACAGATAATGATACTAAAGCACAGAAAAATTAAGTTAACTTGGCCAAGGTTGTACTAAGTGAGAGACTCAAGATTTAAACCCAGGCAGTTTGGTTTTAGAACCCAGCCCCTACCTATTGAATGGTCGGTCTGGTCTGGCTCTATACATTTTAAAAATAGCCTTTAAGGTTTGAAATAATTTTCATTTATTTCCAGTGTCCCAGAAAGATCCACTTTGATGTAATAGTTCTAATTCTTTGAAATAGAATCCCAAATCTGATTTAGAAAAGATGAGGGTCAAGGAAATCGTGTGTTTTTGTTTTGTTTTTTTACAGAGAGAAAGGGAGAGGGGTAATGAGTTAGAAACATCCTATGAGAGAGAAACATTGATAAGCTGCCTCCTGCACACCTCCTACTGGGGATGTGGCTGCAACCCTTTGACCAGAATCAAACCCAGGTCCTTTCAGTCCCCAGGACGACACTCTATCTATCCACTGAGCCAAACCCGTTAGGGCAAGGAAATCATTTTAAGAATAGTTGGTCTTGCCCAGCTAGTGTGACTCGGTGGTTGAGCGTTGACCCATGAACCAGGAGGTTGCAGGTCAATTCCCCATCAAGGCACATGCCTGGGTTGTGAGCTCAATCCCCAGTAGGGGTATGCAGGAGGTGGCCAATTGATGATTCTCTCTCATCAATGTTTCTCTTTCCCTTAATCTCTGAAATCAGTAAAAGAGAGTGAGTGTGTGTGTGTATCTGTATGTGTGTGTCTGTGTCTGTATATCTACCTAATTAAAGGATAACATGCTAATTGACAGTACCTTCACCATGCCCACCAGCCAGTCAGGAGTGGGTATGCAAATTAACCCAACAAAGATGGTGGGTTAATTTGCATACACAGGCACTGAGCAGCAGGGAATGGGTGGGATGCTGACACAGGCATTCTGTACCACCCCAGCCATCCCAGCCATCACCTGGGCCTCTGGGCAGTTTGGAAAGGCATAAAGGCTGCTCTGGGGCCAGAGAGGAAAGGCTGCTCCAGCCAGAGCGAAGGCAGTGCTGCAGCCAGGGGAACAAAGGCCCATTCTTTTTTTCTTTTTCTTTCTTTTTTAATAGATTTTATTGATTTTGTACAGAGAGGAAGGGAGAGAGATACAGAGTTAGAAACATCGATGAGAGAGAGTCATCGATCAGCTGCCTCTTGCACACCCCCTACTGGGGATATGCCCGCAACCAAGGTACATGCCCTTGACCGGAATCGAACCTGGGACCCTTCAGTCCCCAAGCCGACGCTCTATCCATTGAGCCAAACCGGTTTCGGCACAAAGGCCCATTCTTGCACTAACCTTTATTCGTGCATTGGGCCACTAGTGTGTGTGTGTGTGTGTGTGTGTACGTATATGAAGGTCTTTTGTAATTCTTATTTTTACTTCTCCATTAGTTCTGTATTAAAGTAGTTAAATTTGTTAGAGAAACAGGCTTAATTACCGTATTTTTCGGACCATAAGACGCTCCAGACCATAAGACGCACCAGTTTTTAGAGAAGGGAAATGAAAAAAAGATTCTGAAACTAATAAGTGTCCTAAAATATTTTATGTGCATTAAAACCCAACATCACAGTCATAAACACATGTAATCAACCCTGTAAAGTAAACAGCAGCATTTAGAACCATTTTAGAGCCGGGCAAGCACACAGAGACCACACAGAGCCGGGCAAGTAAAAAAACTTTTTTTTTAAAGTATATGTGTAGGCAATATTTGGACCATAAGACACAGGGACTTTTTCCCCCCACTTCTGGGGGGGGAAAAGTGCGTCTTATGGTCCGAAAAATACGGTACTTAGAAAGGAGTAATTGCATTCCTTTTGCTAACCATTTTGTCTCCAAAGCATAAATTGAATGCCCCTCAAGTAAGATATCAAAGAATATTCTAGGGGAAGAGGGGGAAACAATGTGGAAAAGGAAGTTAAAAGTAACATTTGTGGTTGGTAACTGGTCACTTTATTTTAAAATTGTTCATGGCTAGCTGAAGCTGGTTTGGCCCAATCGATAGAGTGTCGGCTTGCGGACTGAAAGATGTCCCAGGTTCAATTCTGGTCAAGGGCATGTACTTTGGTTGAGGGTACATCCCCAGTAGGGGGTATGCAAGAGGCAGCTGATCGATGTTTCTAACTCCCTTCTTCTCTGTAAAAAAATCAATAAAATTTCTTAAAAATTTTTTTTCATGGCTATTGTGCCAGATGCCCCAAGACCTGGGTTATTTGAAGGGTAAAACTAGTAACATTTCATTTGACAAAACAAATGAACAAATACTGTTAAAATACTTTCATATTGCCTGCACTTTTAACTTAGCTTTGTTTCCAAATAATGTGATTTTAACGACATTTATCAGCTCTCAGTATTGTTTTATGACAAACCTGTTGTAGATCAGGTGGTATAGACTTAAATACCTGCAAATGTATAGTGTTAAATTGCAAAATGTAAATTTATATGTATGGAATTAATATATAGTAGTCCCTCTTTTTCACAGGGGATACATTCCCAGACCTCCAGTGAATGCCATAATCACAGATAGTACCAAATTCTTTATATACAGCTATACATGTTGAAGGTTTATAGTAATTCTGCCTTGAGCAAGTCTGTCGGTGCCATTTTTACAACAGTATTTGCTTATGTCATGTCTTTGTCACATTTTGATCATTTTCACACTATTTTAGAAGAGCTGCATTTGGCTCGAGAGCCGCAGTTTGCCAACCACGGGGTTAGACCATGTGAAATTGCTGACTTTGAATTATTGTTGACCTGCAAAAAACCCTTTGATGTACTTCAATGACATGATTGCTCAGTGGCTGCTACAAGTCAAGAGTCTTTAACTCCTGGTTAGTTTACTATGAAGTTTTAACACTTGGAGGTGTATTTACACTATTAACATCAGTCACCAGTGCACATAATGCAGTGCTTATTTTGGGTATGCTCAATATTGGCCCTAGAGATTTTTTTTTTTTTAAGTATGCTTCTGAATTTAAAGTGGAAAAAGAGATTAGTCTCCCAAATATGTTTATGTGTTTAATAGAAGAAAATGAGGGATTCTTTTGTGTATTAGATTGAAATGTATTTTATCATCGTTACTTTGTTATGACCATGAATGCTTGATAAATTATATGATTTTAAAATGTGTTTGATACATTTTTATAGGATGGAAGATGCTGATAATTCTGAAAAGAGTGTACATGAAGAAAATGGAGAAGTATCAGAAGACCAATCTCAAAATAAGCACAATCGTCACAAAAAAAAGAAGCATAAACACAGAAGTAAACATAAGAAACATAAACATTCCTTAGAAGAAGATAAGGATAAAAAACATAAACATAAGCATAAACATAAGAAACACAAAAGAAAAGAAGTTATTGATGCTTCTGACAAAGAGGGTTTGTCTCCAGCAAAAAGAACTAAATTTGATGATTTAGCTTTGCTAGAAGACTTGGAAAAACAGAGAGCCTTGATAAAAGCTGAACTTGATAATGAGTTAATGGAAGGAAAGGTCCAGTCAGGGATGGGACTCATATTACAAGGTTATGAATCAGGCTCTGAAGAAGAAGGGGAAATTCATGAAAAGGCAAGAAATGGAAATAGGTCTAGTACTAGATCTTCCACTACCAAGGGGAAACTTGAACTTATGGACAATAAAAATAGTACAAAAAAGCGAAGTAAAAGCAGATCCAAAGAACGGACTAGACATAGGTCTGACAAAAAGAAAAGTAAGGGAGGTGTTGAAATAGTTAAAGAGAAGACAACTAGGAGCAAATCAAAGGAGAGGAAAAAGTCTAAAAGTCCATCCAAAAGAAGTAAGTCTCAAGATCAAACAAGAAAATCAAAATCTCCTACCCTTAGAAGGCGGTCTCAAGAGAAAATTGGGAAAGCCAGATCTCCTACTGATGACAAGGTTAAGATTGAAGATAAAAATAAGTCAAAAGATAGAAAAAAATCCCCAGTTATAAATGAAAGTAGAAGTCGTGATCGAGGCAAAAAATCCAGATCCCCAGTTGACTTAAGAGGTAAATCCAAAGACAGAAGGTCACGGTCCAAAGAGAGAAAATCAAAACGGTCTGAAACTGAGAAAGAAAAGAAGCCAATTAAATCTCCCTCTAAAGATGCTTCTTCCGGGAAAGAAAATAGGTCGCCCAGTAGAAGACCTGGTCGTAGTCCTAAAAGAAGAAGTTTGTCTCCAAAACAACGTGATAGATCCCGAAGAAGTAGATCTCCACTTCTAAATGATAGGAGGTCTAAGCAGAGCAAGTCACCTTCTCGAACTCTGTCTCCCGGTAGAAGAGCCAAGAGCAGATCCTTGGAAAGAAAACGAAGGGAACCAGAAAGGAGACGACTTTCTTCCCCAAGGTAATTTGTTTTCAAAATATTAGTGCTTTTTACCAATGCACCAGATTTTAAAGGAGAAACTAGAGCTTGTGGACAATGAGAGATGAGATAATAATGAGCTATAGTTTTAGGTATAATCCATTCCATTTTCTGTATTAACATTTGTACTTTTGTCATTGTGTATCTTGGATGTGGACAATTTACAAATACTGAATTTGATGATAGAAACTTTTTGTTTTCAAGTTCTTAATTTAGTATCTAATTTGTAGATTTATTCCTTTAAATCCAAGTATTTTGATAGCTCTGTGTACCCATTTATGGGGAGGGAGTATATTTCCTAGAGGGAATTATCACTTTATTGAACAATATAGGCTGAAATTTTCAACTTTAAAAAGTTTAAAAAATGAGTTATCAGTTTTAAGATTTGTGATCTGTCTAATCTCTTGAATTGGCATGATTTTGAATTCTAACTATAAACTGAAACTATAATTGCTTTTGGCTCCAAGACACAATGAAATTGAAAGTGGAAATATTTTTTTGTTAATTCAAATATTTATAATCTGATTGTTGAAAGAAAGAAAAAACAACCTTAAGTTTAGGAAGAATGGTATAAGAAACTATTTTGTTTTTTACTAATACGTAATAATGAAAATAATTCATATTTGTATAATACATTGGCTCCATCAGTTCTTTTATCAAAATCTCATGACTCTCAGGGAAGTGACTGTCATGCTTAATTTATAAATGGAAAAAGTAGATTGATCCTATTTACTAGGATCATAGAAGTAATAAATAAGACACAGAATGGATTTTGGAAGGGAGGGTTAGGGAATTGTTTAGTCTAAAGTACTTTAGAAACAGATTTTTAAGTATCTTTATATTCAGTTATTAGGCATGTGAAATTATGCCCAAGTGTCACTTAAGGGAATGTTGGCTTATTCTGTGTAAGGATATAAATTCCTGTTCGCTTATTATTATATATTAATATTTACTGTCTATGTGTTTAAATAAGCTAGAGTTTATCATATTTTTCAAGAAGTTTCAATAATGCTCTTTTTTAAAGAGCTCTGTTTTAAGAGATACTCTTGACTCTTTACTTCTAAGTTACATTGTAATGAAATGGTCCTATAAGCTTTCTTGTATTGAGGCAGTTGTTAGTGTTACTGATTAGGTTATGTAAAGTGTTTCTTAATGATCCTGGTCTCCTTCAATTTGCTTTCAGTTTGTGAAGGATATTTTGAAGAATTTATTAAGGACTAGAGTTGAATTTTTTCAAATAAATTTTTTTTTAATTACAGAAGAAATTTTAATTAAAGAGAAACTAAAAAATGCAGAGGCATGTAAATTCTTTCCCTCTATTCTTCTTCCATTGCTACTCCTAAGAGGAATCTTTCTAGCCCTTTCTATGGCCATACAATTATGTTTATGTTTTTTTCCTACAAAAATGGAGTCATATAATTCATGTTAACAGCAATTTGCTTTTTTTCATCAAACACTTCTTTGATAATACATACAGATCTTTTAAAATTACTTTTTAAAAATTGATTGATTTTTTTTTTTTCTTTAGCAAGAGAGAAAGAAACACTGGTTTGTTGTTCCACTAATTTATGCATTCACTTGGTATTAATGAAAATTTAGGTTGATTACAGTTTTTCATGATTGTATGCTAAGACATCCGTGGATTATGTGTGAGGTTTCTTTGTAAAATAAGTTCACAGACATGAAACTACAAAGTTTACTGTTAAGTATGTACATTTTATGTTTTAGAAAAATATTGCCAAATTTTCTTGTAGGAAATTTATACCAATATTTACTTCCATGACTAGATGAACTATCCTTTTTTTTTTTTTTTTTAATATATTTTATTGATTTTTTGAGAGGGATAGAGTTAGAAACATCGATGAGAGAGAATTGTCCTTTTTATATTTCCTCTGCTCTAAGGTTGACGTTGATTGTAAGATGCTATTATATGTAATTGATAAGTTAAAGATAAGACTTCTAATTGCAAAAATTTCAAAATTTAGAAATAAAAGTCTTTAAACTTAGGAAATGTAGTATCACTCACTTGGGGAAGTTTTGAGTTATTTATCTGGAATTGGAGTCAGTGGCTTTAACCTTAAGAATAATCTTTAGCCGAAACCGGTTTGGCTCAGCGGTAGAGCGTCGGTCTGCGGACTGAGGGGTCCCAGGTTCGATTCTGGTCAAGGGCATGTACATTGGTTGTGGGCACATCCTCAGTAGGGGATGTGCAAGAAGCAGCTGGTTGATGTTTCTCTCTCATCGACGTTTCTAACTCTCTCCCTTCCTCTCTGTAAAAAAATCAATAAAATATATATATATATATATATATATATATATATATATATATAAAAGAATAATCTTTAATAATTCTTCAAATTCTAAGACCAGAGTAAATAAGCTTTTTGTGTGTGTGAATTTAAGTTTTGTTACGAAACATGTTAATTTGTGTTTATTATCTTTAGTTTAGTATGCCATTTCTTTTTCTTTTTACATTTATGAGCATTAATTTTTATTTTTAAAATATGGAGCACTATGAATTTGCATGTCATCCTTGTGCAGGGGTGATGCTGTTCTCTGTATTGTTCCAGTTTTAATGTATGTGTTGCCAAAGCAAGCACTGTGAATGTTTATTTTTAAAGGTGTCTTCTTTTTTTTTTTTTTAATTTATTGATTTTTTTACAGAGAGGAAGAGAGAGGGATGGAGAGTTAGAAACATCGATGAGAGAGAATTACAGATCGGCTGCCTCTTGCACACCCCTACTGGGAATGTGCCCGCACCAAGACATGCCCTTGACCGGAATCGAACCTGGGACCTTTCAGTCCGCAGGCCAACGCTTTATCCACTGAGCCAAACCGATTTCAGCAAGGTGTCTTCCTTCTAATAAACATTTTGGGAAAATAGAATTTTTTTCATAACATTTTTGCATGATTCTGAAAGTTATATAAACAAAATTAGAATAATACCTAAAAGTACAAAAAACGATTTTAAGAAATCTCTGTTAAGATGTCCATTACAAGTAGAAGAAATACATTTATTTTTATTTAATTCATTTTCCTATTTACTTGTATTTGGTTCTCTTAAGAACACGACCTCGTGACGATATCCTCAGTAGACGTGAGAGATCAAAAGATGTCAGCCCGATAAGTAGGTGGTCTCCAACCCGAAGAAGAGCAAGTAGATCTCCCATCAGGAGGAGGTCTCGCTCACCACTCAGACGGAGCAGGTCTCCTAGAAGAAGAAGCAGGTCCCCTCGGAGAAGGTAAAGATGTTGCCCTTTGTTTCATTAAACTCTGAATGTTTAATCTAGGTTCCCTTCAAATTTAAATAAATCAGTGTTCATTATAAACTCAAATCTTTTAAAAGTAGGACATTTTTTCAAGAGATAAATATTAAATGAGCTAGGCTTAGATGTTTTTTTAACTAGCAGGATAAAAAGTTAGCCCAGTTTTCTGTCTGCCTTACAGTTTTGTACTTACGGTATATTTCTGTTAACTTGTATTTGATCACCTTAAGAACATGGCCTCAAGATGATATCCTCAGTAGGCATGAAAGTCTTTTTGGGCAAAAACCTATTTAATTTACCATAATAGAAATCATATTATATGAAGCACAAGTGGTTAGTTGTTTAATCGAAAGGTTGGCTTTTAAAGCAGGGAATCCTTTTAAAATAACATATATACATTAAACATTTTAACTAATATTTACGTGTGTGTGTGTGTGTGTGTGTGTGTATTCCCAAGACCTTGTTGGCTCTTTATACCTTTTTTTATATAGAACATTTTACTTTTGTTTTATGGAAATAGTGCCTCTTATGTCAAAGATGATAATTAATTTTTGTGGAGTTTTTTTGTTCTTTATAGTCTTTTACTTATATAGTTGACCCTTGAACAGCATGGAGAATTCACGTATGCATTTCCATTCTCCAAAAACTTAATTATGTAACTACTAATATCCTTCTCTTGGCTGGAAGCCTTATCGATAACATAAACAGTTGATTAAAACAAGTTTTGGCCTTGGCCCATTTTCCCAGTGGTTAGAGCTTTGGCCCCTGGACCAAAGGGTTGCAGTTTTGATTTCTGATCAAGGGCACATATCTCAATTGCAGGTTCCCCAAGCCTGGGTAAGAGCACATTTGGGAGGCAACCAATCATTGTGCTCAGATAGCTGGATCTTTCATTGCTGCTTGTTCTGCTTTGAAAGTTAGGCACTCCTGAACAGAAGCTTTCTTTCATTTTGACAGTGTGCAACTTGTGGATTAGTGGGTATCACTTGAGGGTGATGAAGTGAGGAGGATTTGATCGTATCAACAACTAAGTATCTTTTCTTTTGGGTGTGGGAGTTTCCCAGAATCCTATCATCTCCGCTGAAGAGGATAGATGTGGCTACCCTGAAGTTTTGGTCAACTTTTCATAATGTCAACTTTTCCTTAATCCTATTTTCAGTAGAGTGTCTCTCCTGTACCTTGGGCCAGTTTTTACAACCAGCGCCTCTCTATAAAATAAGTCTTATCTTTTATCTCAAGTTTTATACTTCAGAGGACATAAGTATCTCCAATGCTCAAGGCTTTCTGGGGTTTTGTGGCACACACTTACTTGTTTCTTTTTTCACCTTGTCCATTGCTATTGGACTAATACTTAGATCTGATCTGTAACTACTCTTTTTTTGATTTGCACATTTCAAGACTTTGTTGGCATCTAGGCTGTCATGTCTCTTCACATTTTCTTAGCCTGAAGATTTTCTTTTTAATTGTTCCTTTTACTGCCCTTTTGGTGAGGTTTCTGAAGAGATTGAGATAAACACGGTGGTTAAATGTGATTAACAGAGAGTTTGCCGATCCTTTTATAGAAACTCACACATTTGTGTGCTTGGAGTGCCATATCTTTCTAACATATACTGTATCTTTGATGTTTGAACTATAATAGTTTCTGTTTGTTTAACATGAGGGATTTTACCTTTAGGCATTTATAAAAATATCTGAGGACCATATTAATTAAACTGAATTTTATCATATTTGTCTCATACCTTATCAGCAGCAATCTTTTTAAAAATCAGGTTTATTGAAGTATCATTTACACAAAATTCACCCATTTTGGTGTACAGTTCATGAGTTTTGACAAAGGGATGTGTTATCAGAATAGAGGGGTGAAATGACTTGACACAATTGTCAAGATGTAGGGCATTTTTAAAAAATATGTTTTTATTGATTTCAGAGAGAAAGGGAGAGGAAGAGTTAGAAGCGTCAGCGATGAGAGAAACATTGATTGGCTGCCTCCTGCAAGCCCCCGACTGAAGATTGAGCCCGAAACCAGGGCATGTGCCCTTGTCTGGAATCAAATCTGGAACCCTTGAGTCCACAGGCCAAGGCTCTACCCATTGAGCCAAACTAGCTAGGGCGAAATGTAGAACATTTCCATTACCCTTGTAGTAGTTCTCTTTGTAGTCAGTAAGTAGGGTAGCTATGTTTTATTTTCAGTTAAGCTAATTATTTAACCTTTTTGATACTGTTATTTTACTTTAAATTTTAATCAACTTTTTAATACTTTATTTTTAGAACAGTTTTAGATTCACAGCAAAATTTAGCTTTTGAAAAAAATATATATCATCTTCTCTCAAATAGGGACAGAGGTCGGAGAAGCAGATCCCGTATGAGAAGGCGGTCTCGATCACGGGGTGGTCGTAGACGTAGGAGCAGAAGCAAAGTAAAGGAAGATAAATTTAAAGGAAGTCTTTCTGAAGGAATGAAAGTTGAGCAAGAATCTTCATCTGAAGATAAGTAAGAATGGAATTTTCCCATAATTTTCTTTTTAGAGAAACACTGTTTAACTTTAATCTTTATTTTCCACCTGAATATTGTAAGTGAGCCTGTTAATTTGCTTCTGAATTATTTGGCTCCCCATTTGGCAGTGTCTGGAAACATTTTAGGCCATCTAATAAGTATACTGTTCAACATCCTCCAGTACAGAAAACACCCCTCATAATGAATTGTCACAATGTCAACAGTGCCAAGGTCAAGAAACCCTGATTAGAGTTAGGTGATAAGAAAATTAAATTGGAAAAAGGTGTTATACCTAAATCTTAACACAAATACATTCAGTACCCAGTTTGTTTCTTTTCCAGAGGACATTGAACAGATGATAGAAAAGGCTGCACTGGAAGGGATCATAAAGATTGTAGGAGTTCTATGGTGTATAGTCGGGATTGGTCAGGGTCAATGTTTGGAGGTAGAGCTACATTCCCCTTCAGATTGTATGTAAATGTTTGCATGTGCATTTTTTAAGGAGAAAGATGTATAGCTCTCAAAGGGTTCTATGGCACAGAAAAGATACCAATTTATCTGTCCTAGCCCTCTTGTTTTATAGATGTGTACACTGAGGATAGAGGGTGAAATGACCTTACTAAGGTCATGGCAGAGCCAATGGTGACATTTTTAAAATTTAAGGATCTTCCTTTTGTTCCCAATTTTGGTGCCATGAAACAAATGAGAAAAATAAGACACAGAAGGTTAAATTACTTTTGCCAGGATTTGAAACCAGGCACTGATAGTTTAGAAACAAAGACAAAGAGAGGTAGCTTAAGACTTTAGCTCAAATTTACAGATGACCGATCTACATTTTCCAATTTTTATTTTTGAAACATATAAAATTATGGTTTTGGAATCTCTTAAGGATGTTTAAGGTTAATGACGTGTATATATGTGTAATTTTTTTAAGCCTCGAAGACTTTGATGTAGAGGAAGAAGATGAAGAGGCCCTAATAGAGCAGAGAAGAATACAAAGGCAAGCAATTGTTCAGGTATGTGATTTTAGTACAATTTTGATCAATCCACCTTAAATAATATTTTAGTAAAATAAAGATTTTTTACTTAAAAAAGTGACAATAGTAGCAATTCAGTAGGGCTTGAAAAAAATGGTAGTTTCTTAATAAAATTGAAACAGTTACCCCTTTTAAATGTAATGAATAATAAAACACTCATAAATGAGTATAGAATAAATTGGAGGAATTTCATTTAGTAAAAAACTACCGTATTTTTCGGACCATAAGATGCACTTTTTTCCCCCCAGAAGTGGGGGGGAAAGGTCCCTGCGTCTTATGGTCCAAATATAGCCTACACATATACTTTTTAAAAAAAGTTTTTTTACTTGCCCGGCTCTGTGTGGTCTCTGTGTGCTTGCCCGGCTCTAAAATGGTTCTAAATGCTGCTGTTTACTTTACAGGGTTGATTACATGTGTTTATGACTGTGATGTTGGGTTTTAATGCACATAAAATATTTTAAGACACTATTTGTTTCAGAATCTTTTTTTCATTTCCCTTCTCTAAAAACTGGTGCGTCTTATGGTCCGGAGCATCTTATGGTCCGAAAAATACGGTATACCTGTTACTAGTTTAAAGAAAACAAAACTTTTTAATGTCTAATAAAATGGCAGATTTTCTAATGCAAATGTAATTATTTCAATGGAACATCTGAAAAGTAATTTTAAGACTATTCTAAAACTTGGTGATTTTTTTTTTTAATGGAAATACTTTTATGGATTTTTTTAAAATTTTTTTAATATATTTTATTGATTTTTTTTTTTTTTTTACAGAGAGGAAGGGAGAGAGATAGAAATATTGTTGAGAATCATTGATCACCTACCTCTTGCACGCCCCCTACTCGGGATGTCCCTTGCCCGCAACCAAGGTACATGCCCTTGACCGGAATCAAACCCGGGACCCTGCAGGCTGAGGCTCTATCCACTGAGCCAAACCAGTTTGACAAGCGAGGTGATTTTAAAACATGGGTAGAGCCTTAGCCAGTTGGCTCAGTAGATAGAGCTTCAGCCTGTGACTGAAGGGTCCAGGGTTTGATTATGGTTAAGGGCATGTACCTTGGTTGCGGGTTGTAGGCTCGATCCCCAGTAGAGGACGTGCAGGAGGCAGCCAATCAATGATTCTCCGTCTTCGTTGATGTTTCTATCTCTCTCTCCTCCCTTCCTCTCTGAAATCAATAAAAAAAATATATTTTTTTAAATGTGGAAAGTGCTGTACATTGTCCTTGAAATAGTAATTTAATGATAAGGTGAGCTGCCTTAGAAGTTTGTCTCTCCTTCCTTGGCCACCCCAAGATAAAGCCATGGCCGCTAGGTCCTTTGTGGATGACAGTCCCTGTAAAGTACCTTCTGTCATCATCATCAGGAGAATTTTCTTCTCATGATGGGAAGGTGAGTAAAGAAATTGAAAGGCAGAATTCTGAAATATATGAAAAACGATAGATATTTTTTACACTATAAGGAGGACAGTACACAGAAATAAAGGACAGTCATGGCAGCTCACCTAAACACACCTAACAAACCATAAATCAATTAATGGTATGTTAGAGTGACAGAAAGAACTTAAGTCACCAGAGGCTGTCGGGCAAAACTGAATTCCAGAGGAAACTTAGCTTTTGTGGATCATTGTTATTGAAGTGATATTCCTAAAGACTTGGTTGAAATTTTTTTTGGTTTTGTTCAGGTCCACAATCCCTTATCTCCAGCCCTCGGGGCCAGATGTGCTTCATACTCAGAAATATTTGAATTTTAGAAAGGTAATATGGTGCATTTCTGTACGTTAGCTCCATTCATGGGTCTAGAACAGCACCCCATTATCAAGTACATGAATATTTCTGCAGCAAGGTTTATTATGTTCATGCTGGGGGAAATAAATAAGACTATAAATAGTATCATGACTGGTTTAGCCAGCTTTGCCACCTAATGAATGTGCACCATACATAAAAAAAAACTCTTTTAGAGTTTAGTGGATTTTGGAATTATATAAGGGATTGTGGATCTGATTCATTGAAGGCATTAATACCTTTTAAAAGTTTAACATTATTTGACTTTGTAATATAGCACCTTTTAGCAGATATACTTAGATAGTATCAGATTTTATGAAAATAATGGACTGTATTGTTATTACAGAAATATAAATATCTTGCTGAAGATAGCAATATGTCTGTGCCATCTGAACCCAGCAGCCCCCAGAGTAGTACTCGTACACGGTCACCTTCTCCAGACGACATTCTGGAAAGGGTAGCTGCTGATGTTAAAGAGTATGAACGGGAAAATGTTGATACATTTGAGGCCTCAGTAAAAGCCAAGCATAATCTAATGACAGTTGAACAAAATAATGGTAAGTTGGATTCTTATTTTGACCATGCTTTTCTCTGAATTTTTAGCTCTGTAATTTTATGAGAGATTGTAACAGTATATTAAATTCCCTCCTATTCATAACCTTGTGGTTTACTTGCTAGAGTATTTTAAAGCAAATCCTAGCCAAGATTTCACTTCAGCTGTACATATTTCAGTTTGTATTTTTGTTAGATAAAGACTTAATGGCTGGTTTGAATCAAAACTCAAATAAGATGCAAATATATTTGGGGTGTATAAATCGTTGATTTCTAATGTCTTAAGTCTTTCTTAGTCGTAATTGTTTTTTCGCCTCCATTTCCTACACACACACACCCCATTTACTTATGAGGATACCAGAGCTATATGTTCCGTAAACTTTTCCATTCTGATTTTTGTTTGTTCACATTCTTATGTCTTTTATCTCATTTCCTATGTCCTCAGTATTTCTTGAAAACTAGTGGTTAGTGTTAGAATTAAATGGATTTAGGTTTAATGTTTTTGGCAAAAATATTTCATAAGTGGTGGTGTGTACTTTCATAATTATATCAATTGATGTGTGTGGTTGTCTTAAGTTTTCCATTTATTTGGTTACCCCAAATTGTAGTTTGTACAGGAAAAGGCAGGATAAATGCTTGGTTATTTTTCTTTATTTAGCATTTTTTTAGTATTGAATAAAGTTGGTGCCATAGTGCTTCCACAGAGGACCAATGATATTTTTGTTGGGTTTTGGTTGGTACCATTTTCTACTTGTGTTACAATGCATTGCTGTCAGTTTTCTTTTTGACGTTTAGATTGTTCTCTCTTTAGCTAAGAGAGGGAAGAAGCCCTTTTAAATTGGTTTCTAATTTTTTTTAACCCAAATCCTGCAATATTTAGTATTTTCTAGGTCAAGTTCAGCAAACTGTGAAAGGTCAGAGAATAAATTATTTTAAACTATTGTTTTCTGTCCCAATTACTGAATCCTATTGTAGTACAGAAGCAGCCACACCTAGCACGAATGAATGAGCATGAATGGCTGTGTTCCCAAAACAGATGTATGGATATCAAAATTTGAATTTTATAAAATTTTCACATGTCACAAAATATTCTTCATGTTTTCCCCCAGACATTTAAAAATGTGCAAATGGACCAAACAAAAAAAAACCAAGGGCCAAATTTGGCCCAGTCTTTTATTTTCTAACTCCCGTTCTACCACAGTAGGATATTCCACCTTGTGCATATCTTGACCCACAACAGAATCAGCTATTGCTTCTGGTTCCTTTAGTAGGCAAATATTTAGAGATCATAGGGCAATTTGAGGTGCCCGTTACTCCTGGACTTTTATTGCAGCCAAAGCTAAAAAAAATGTACATTTTTAGAAAGGACAAATTTCTACTGATATTGGCAATTAAATTTGAGATTATAGAGTTTTTATTAAATAATTTGATTTTCTATTTCTATCTTTTTTAATGTGAAAAACTTGGTACCAATAACCTGATAACTCTGGTTATTTTCAAACTTTCATATATACAGACTTGTCAGTATGATTATCAATATAAAATATACTGAATGCACTTGGAAATTTAATAGTTCTTTTTGTACTTATAATGCATTCTAAGGTATATATAGTCACAATTCTATTTTAAAGTACTGCCAATTTGATAGGTTTAGGTTTATTTGATTTTGCTTTTTAATAATTTTCTTTAAAATTATTAAAATATCTTTCATGAGTATGTGTTTGTGTTCTACCTACACAGGCACAACAAAAGCGTATTATATAGCAAAGCCCTAGCCAGTTTGGTTCAGTGGATAGAGTGTCAGCCTGGGGATTGAAGGGTCCCGGGTTCGATTTCCAGTCAGGGCACATGTCTGGGTTGCGGGCTTGACTGCCAGTAGGGGCATGCAGCAGACAGCTGATCAATGATTCTCTCTCATCATTGATGTTTCTATCCGCTCTTCCTCTCTGAAATCAATAAAAGTCTATTTTAAAAGTATACTATATATACTCATCTGTATGAAAATCTCTATTTTTTATAACTGTTATCTATTCCAATGAAATGAATGTGACATAGTTTATTTAACCTCTCTTCTAATGGTGTATATTTGAAGTGTGTCAGTTGTTGGTTATTCATTGGAGAATTAGTTAGAATTCGTGTTGTGCATTAAGTCATTTTTTTTATGCTTGCCACTCTATCTTTGAGATGGTTTCCTAGAAGTGAGATAGGTGAGCCAGAAGAATGAATGAATATGTAATTTTTCTGTATATTTCCAAATTCTCCTCTATAATGGCCGTACAATTAATTGCCATCCACAACCATTGTCTGAATGCTTGTTTATTGAGAGCCTTATTAACAAAACATCATACTTGTAATTTTTAGTCAGTCTCATATGAAAGAGATGGCATTTCATTGTAATTTTAATTTATTTTTTTTTTCTAAGAACTCTAATTTTTTTGCCCTGTTTTTTATGGATTTATTGGACTTTTTTATTTATTTTATTTATTTATTTTTTAAATATATTTTATTGATTTTTTAGAGAGAGGAAGGGAGAGAGAGAGCTAGAAACGTCGATGAGAGAGAAACATCGACCAGCTGCCTCTTGCACACCCCCTACCGGGGATGTGCCCGCAACCAAGGTACATGCCCTTGACCGGAATCGAACCCGGGACCTTTCAGTCCGCAGACCGACGCTCTACCACTGAGCCAAACCGGTTTCGGCTTATTGGACTTTTTTAGAAGACAAATAGATATAGACCTATATCTATAATGGGGATATTAACGTTTTGAAATTTAAGTTACAATTTAGAACTTAATTTTTTTTTTTAACTGTTTTAGAAAGAGAGGAAGGGAGAAGGGTGGGGGGGGAGGGAGGGAGGAGAGAGAGAGAAAGATTAATATGAAGTGAAACAGTGATCGGCTGCCTACTTACTGCATGCTTTCTACCAGGGCATGAGCCTGCAATCAGCAACCTTATGTGCATGTGGAATGATGCCCAACCAACTGAGCCCACACCGGCCAGGACAAAAATACAATTTTTAAAGAGGAATTTTCACTTTAATACATAATTATTGTTTCTATATTAGCATGTTGGTGAAAGAATTGGTATTATATCTTAGAACTTTATGAAACACTAGAGGTCGGGTGCATGAATATGTGCGCTTTGTAAAGGAATTAATTAGAAGAAGTATCTTAGAGGCTGGGGAGGAAGTGAAGGAGGTTGGCTCCAGGGTATTTCTGGCCCGTCCTGCCTAGTCCCCATGGGGCCAGCTGGCTGGGAAGAGACCATGGGAGGGCTCTAGGGTGTGTCCGGCCCCTCCGTCCAGGCCCAATCAGCTGGACGCCAACAGCAAGCTAATCTATCTATCAGAGGATCGGCCCCCTGGTGGTCAGTGTGCATCATAGCGACTGGTTGAGCGGTCGAACAATTGTTCGGACACTTATTATATTAGGCTTATATATATAGATTCATTTTAGTAAAAAGTGCATGACTTTGTATATCTTAAGTGTTACAAAGTGATTTTAAGTTGGTTATTAATGAAAAACTGATGTACAAGAAGAAAAAAGTTTGAATTGCTATTGGTGTTTTTTTCATAATTTGTACTTTAATTTTTATCTCTTCATTTTTCAAATATTAATGTTAATTTTCATTAAGGGTCAGCTCAGAAAAAGCTATTGGCACCTGATATGTTTACAGAATCTGATGATATGTTTGCTGCATATTTTGATGTAAGTAATTTTAAATCATAAACACACAACTATTAAACCAAAAAATTTAGGTAACAAATATGTATTTGTGTGTGTGTGTGTGTGTGTGTGTGTGCATAGAGGGAGGGGAAGATAAAGAGATGGACAGAGCAAATTAATAAATGTACCTAAGCATTTGGATAACTAGGTGAAGGGTACCTGGAAACTCTTTGTACTCATTTTGCAACTTTTCTTCAATTCTGAAATTAAGTTACAATTTTAAAACAAGTACAGCAGAATAGTTTTAGAGCTTCATGAAAGTTAAATGTCTAATGACTTAAAGGTATAGTTAATTTTTTGAAACAACTTTTTTCTTAGACTTACAAACTGTTGTGTGGGGGGGGGGGTGGAATAATTAGGTGAGACATGATGATATCAATAATTTCCAGATCTTCATTAAAACAGAGTTCACTTTGTGGTTTTATATTGTACATGATGGAGAACATAAGGATTTAGGGCCTAATAAAGTTCATTGAAGAGTTAAAAATGTTGTAACTAGTTAGAATAGTGTCATGCATTAAGTCATTTTAAGAAATGACTTAAAAGGTTTGGTCCCTTAGCCATTTTTATCAGTGTGAGGGACCCCATGGTTGTATGATTGGGCTGGGAAGGAACTGCATGAGCAATCTAGAGCTTGTCCGACCCATCTCACTCAATCCTGGCTGGACCCCAGCAGCAAGCTAGCCAACCAGTCAGAGCGTTTGCCCTCTAGTGTTCAGTTCATGTCATAGTAACTGGTTGATCAGTGGACTGCCTGCCCCCTAGTGGTCAGTGCACATCATAACAAATGGTTGAGCAGCCTTTGCATATCAATAGCATATTACATTTTGATTGGTTGACCAGTCGTCTGGTCACCAGGTGACTGGACACTTAGCATATTAGGCTTTTAGTATTGAGATAGCTGGTTCATCCATTTTTGTTTAAAGAAAGTGCTTAAAATGTCGAACTGATTTAGTGGGTAAATAGCTAATATTGCCTCCTTAATTTCAGAGTGCTCGTCTTCGGGCTGCTGGCATTGGAAAAGACTTTAAAGAGAATCCTAACCTCAGGGATAACTGGACTGATGCAGAAGGCTATTATCGTAAGTGACAATTCTTATGAATTTTATTTATTTACTTATTATTGACAGGAGTCTCCAATTTTCTTCCTTCTACCCCTCTTCCCCTAACCCCTGCCCTACCTCAGGCCCTCCCCATACTGTTGTCTTTGTCTAAGTGTTATGCATATATGCTCTTTTGTTAATCTTTTCCTATCCTTGCACTGAGATCTGTTATTCTCTTCCATGTACCCATACCTCTGGACCAATTTTGTTCATCAGTTACTGACTGGGTGCTTAAGATTCTTTCTTTGTCTTTAACATTTGTCATTTTAATTTTGATGTGTCTTGGAATGGGTCTCTTTGGATCCATCTTGATTGGAATTCTGTGCTTTCTGAACTTGTGTGATGTTTTCTTTTTAATTTTTTCCACTCTAATTGGGTGGCGGGTTTTTCTACCTTATCTTCCAAATCACTGATGGGAACTTCTGCCTTTGATTCCTTCCTGTGTATTTTTGATATCTGATATTATTCTTCTAGAGCAGTGTTTCCCAAACTTTTGACATATGTGTACCCCTTGTATAATTTTTGTAACGCTGAGTACCCCTCGTACTCATGGGAACGTAGAATTAGGCGCAGCTAGGCACGGTGCAGTGCATATCCCCACCAAACTCTTCCTGTACCCCTGGGGGTACGCGTACCACACTTTGGGAAACACTGTTCTAGAGCATCCTTCTTTTCTTTTATTTGGGGGTTATTTCTTTGTCTCCCCATGTTTTATTTCCCTTTGTATTTGTTTCTGTGTTATTAGATCAAACTGTTATGCCTCCCAATCTTTTTTCAGGTGGCCTTATTTAGTAAGTTTTCTGTGGTGCCCAGTAATGCTGATTTTTTTTTTTTTATTATTATTATTATTTTTAAATCTCCTGAGTTGGATGCTCTAGGAATGTTCCTTGTGTGGCTTATTTGGAATCTGCTGTTGTAATTGGGTATTGATTGTTGTTGTCACATTCATTGGTGGAATTGGTTGTATGTGACCGTGGTCTCCCGTGAGTAGGGATGTTCAGATATCAAGGAAAATGGTGGGTGTGTTTCCCCATTCTATAGCTATTTCTCTGAGAGTGCCCTAGAAATTTTCCCTGCCCTTGGCTGGGCAGAGATTCTCATATGCAGTCCAGGGGATCTCCTGAATTCAGGAGTTTCTATCTGCTCTCCTAAGCAGCAGTTAGATTCCTATGACAGTAGGGTAGATGACTTCACCCCCAAGCCAGTCAGTGATCCTACTGAAATTGTTCAAATCCGTAGGTTTCGTCTCTGCTGTTGTAGCCTCTGCAGGGGTCAAGATGTAGGGTGTGACAAGTGGGATTCCTAAGTGTGGGATCAGTGGTATCCTTAGGGCAGGATATTTGCATTTTCCCTCCCCTCCAGCTGTAGCTGCTGGGAGGGGTCTACGCCAGTCTGGAACAATATCCTCTTCTGTATGTTCATGGGTATGACTGATTGCAGGTCTTCCTGCCACCAGATTTCCATGTCTCCCCTCAATGCCTTCTACCCTAGCCACTCAGGTAATTCCAATTCACACTGCTCTCTTTCCACCAAAGCCTTAGCTGCAAAGGAACACTATGCTCGGGTTGTTTTTTTTTTTAATTTAATATTATTACTATTTTTAAAAAATATATATTTTGCTATTAAGTTCTGAAAGGATGGGAGAGGGTGAGAGACAGTAACATCAATGATGAGAGAGGGTCATTGATCGGCTGCCTTCTGCACGCCCCACACTGGGGATCAAGTCTGCAACCTGGGCACGTGCCCTCATCTGGAATCAAACCGTGACCTCCTAGTTCATAGGTCAACACTCAGCCCCTTAGCCGTGATGGCCAGGCCGCTCTGTGTTGTTTTTAACAACACAAAAACAAAAAATGGTGGCTTTATCTCTGACTGGCTGCAGACTCCCCAGAGGCCTGAAGCCCCACCACCTTTTCACAGCTGGATGTTACATGGGCTGCTTTTCTTGGCTCTGGTGCTCTGGTCTGTGGAGTCCAGCCTGGTATTCAGGCCTTGATCTTCACAGGGAAAACCCCATTCTGCAGCCAAGAAATCTCTTGGCCTGCTGCCCTTGGAAGTTGGGCCAGCCCCTCTTGTGACCTCACCCTTCCTAGCAGTCTCCAGATGGTTTCTGCCCTTCTTGAACTCTATTAATTCTAGAGTTCATTGTAATATTTTGTAAAACTCCATCTTAATGCCATCATCTAAAATGTTTGGCTCACCTAGCAACTGCTGAATCCATGTAGGCAGCCCCAGAAGCATTGCAAATTGAAGTGAAGACTTGATTTGAAACTTAAATTTATTCAGTTATTTTTAGCCATGAGATAATCCTCAAGAAGGAAGGGAAGTTAATATATCATTTGCTCATCTTGATCTGAAACCAATAGAAACAACATACAAGGAACTTGAGGTACTAGTCATGCAGGACTGCAGTTGGAAACACTTCAACCAGCACATTTCTCCCATATTCAATGTTAAAATCATTAGCATTTGATAGGACAGAAAAATTCTCCTTGTAATCTTTGAAAGTGGGCATGCAGTAATATCCACAGGGAAGAGAGTGACAGTGGAGGCATGGCCTTGATTCTCTATGATGTCTGGGAAATCAAGCACAAAGTAGGATTTGACATGCATTTTGAGTGATTGCGCTGTGTTTCCTCCTTTTTAATTTTGTGTATCTCATAGTTTGTTAAAACGCTCAAAATTCTAATATTTTAATTTATTCTTTTAGGTGTGAACATAGGTGAAGTGCTAGATAAGCGATATAATGTGTATGGCTACACTGGTCAAGGTGTATTCAGTAATGTTGTACGAGCCAGAGATAATGCAAGAGCCAACCAAGAAGTGGCTGTAAAGATCATTAGAAACAATGAACTCATGTAAGTCAGTGTGATGAAACCTTTAATAACACATTTTGTTCAAATGAAAATATTGCTAAATGCCATTTTAAAAAAGTAACATTCTATAAAACAAGTAGAACTATAAAATGATTGTAGTAGTCCTTTTTGACTGGATATTTAATTTATAGCCATATGTTATATGTGAAGTATTAGAACTATAGACTGATTTGTGTTTAATTCATTTCAGTGCATTTCAGTATCTACTGTGCACTAATGTTAACGTAGACTTCTTCTGTTTGTCTGATGGCCAGCCATCTTTTTTCTTTTTAATATATTTTATTGACTTTTTACAGAGAGGAAGGGAGAGAAAGAGAATTAGAAACATTGATGAGAGAGAAACATCTATCACCTGCCTCCGGTACACCCCTTACTGGGGATATGCCCACAACCAAGGTATATGCCCTTGACCGGAATTGAACCTGGGACCTCTCAGTCCCCAGGCCGATGCTCTATCCACTGAGCCAAAGCGGTTTCGGCGGCCATCTTTTGCTGTGAATATTTTAAACTCAAGACTAGAGGTGAGGGATAAAAGGATTATATTAATTAGTTGTCGCTAATTAGCATAAAGTGGTCTACAAAAGGGACAGCTGGTTTACCAGATAATTTGGGGAAATTTTTGTATCTTCTATCTGTTGCCTTTTTCCTTTAATACACAAGAGTTACTTAATTGTCACGTACATGCTTTAATACATAATTTGTACCACACACTGAGCTGGTGTTAAACTCAAATTACTATTGGTTTTATAACACTGGAAAGAAATGTTGTAGATTTATACTAAAGTCTTAAACTTCCCCAGGCTTAGAAAGTTTTTGTTGTTTTGTTTTTATGTTTATCCCCAACCCCTGTATTATAGACACTAACTTTAAAAAATGTAGCTTATTGACAAATTATAACTAGAATTTTAAGGAAAACCAAATATTAATATTTGGTGAGACATTTCCTGCTTAGACTCTTAAGGAACCAAAACTCTATACAATGTGGTTCCACTTTTATTAAACACAAGTCCCCTGGTGTTAATTAGAAGGTGGCCAGTAGGGCAGCACTGGATGAGATGGGCCAGACATGCCCTGGAGCCAACTTCCTATGGTTCCTCTTTAGCTGGCCACACCTGGGGAAGTGTCATGGCTTAAAGGGCGTCTGAGAAGTGAACGGGGTTCCTCTGACAGGTGGGGTCCCTCAGCCTGGCCTGTAGTGGGGATTGGGCCGAAACTGGCTCTCCATTCCCTGAGGGATCCTAGATTGTGAGAGACACATCCCAGAATCGGATTCCTTCCTCTTTGGTTCTGGAGTGCGTCACCCAAGAACTGCCACTGCCAAATCACTGCAGCTTGGCAGCTCCTGTGCTGTCTGCCAGCTGGTGGCCATTGCTCATCGTAGCTACTGGTAGGACGGTCGCTTAGCTTTTTATATATATAGATAGAATTTACATCAAGACTGGAGAATAAAATGTGCAGGATTGATTTTCCTTCAAGCAAGGTAGGTTTATTCCTCAGTGCTTCTGTTTTGTTGATTGGTTATTTTGGAAATTAACTTCATGAGAACCATATTTGATTAAGTATGAAGTATTGTCTAAGTGGTACAGAGACCTGTCATTCCTCAACAGATTTATTATGACTTGTAAAAAAACAACAAACTAATTAACATCACCTATGGTTCATGATACTGGAATTAGCAAATTATATTATTTAGTTCTGGATGTATTTAATTTTGACTGACTTTCCTTTTTTTATTTCAGGCAGAAAACTGGTTTAAAAGAACTAGAATTTTTGAAAAAACTTAATGATGCTGATCCTGATGACAAATTTCATTGTTTGCGGCTCTTCAGACACTTTTATCATAAACAGCATCTCTGTCTCGTATTTGAGCCTCTCAGGTACAGTGTCAAAAACTACATAAAATGAAAATTTATCTTCTTTATCTCTACCAACCTCACTTAAAGATAAACAATTGAAATGACATATTTTCTGGGCATTTGATTTTTATTTACTTATTTAATTACTAGAAGCTTGGTGCACGAAATTTGTGAGTGTGGGGGGGAGGTCAGGGAGGAAGGGGGAGGGTCTTGGTTGGCAGGATCCCTCAGCCTGGCCTGCGCCCTCTCACAGTCTGGGAGCCCTGCTATAGATCGCCCAGCAGAAGGAGGCTCTGCTCACCCACCACCAGGTAGCCTGGGCCTCCCTTTGTGGGGTAATGGCTGGGCCCCTGACCAATGGCATTGCACCTGCCTTGGCTGGCCTGGTGCCAGTGGTCGTCCGGATGGTCATTCTGCTATTTGGTCGTTTGGTGGCCAGTGCACTCCATAGCGGGGGAGTGTCACTCAGCCAGAAGCCACTTATGCTTTTATTTATAGAGATTATTATAGACTTAATTTAGCTCTGGTTTTTGTTTTTTAAGCTTGTATTATGAGCTGGTTTCTTGATAGTCATTAATATATTGACATTAAATGACTGCATACTATGTGCCAGTTTACTACTTGCTTTTAGCCTTCAGGTCAACCTGAGAAATTCTCTGAAAATTAAATATTTCAAGGAAGGATTAAGCCAGAATGATAAGAAATGAGAATAGTGGAAGAAATACAATTTTGATCTTCGAAATTATAGCTTCGTTGTTAATTTTTCAAATATAAATCCATTCTAAAATCAATACAGATTTTATCATTGCGTATCTTTCTTTCTATTTATTTTAAAAATTAAGTTTTATTGGAAAATTGTGTTATGTACACATAATTTCATATATTCTCATTTCATTATGGAATAATTTATCAAATATTTGAGATGTTCTTGAATAGAATATGTCATTGTAATTATATTTTGGGTTTGATTTTACTTTATGCTTAAATGTTTTTGCTTTTTTGAAATGTCAATTTTGTATTTAACCTGTAACTTTCTTTTTTCCTTTCTCCTAAAAGCATGAATTTACGAGAGGTGTTAAAAAAATATGGTAAGGATGTTGGTCTTCATATTAAAGCTGTAAGATCTTACAGTCAACAGTTGTTCTTGGCATTGAAACTCCTTAAAAGATGCAATATTCTACATGCTGATATCAAGCCAGACAATATCCTGGTAAGTGAAACAGTTAAGGCTGCATTGTACATTCATATATCTGCTTTTCAGTAATGTGAGATTACCACTGTATTATTTTAAAAATAACATCTTAAAAGATATACTTATTACCCATTACAAATTACCAATTTTTCCTTTTTTGGAAATTGAGCCATGAAATTTTAAAGTATAAAGAAAAAGGAGATAGGCCAGCGTCCCAAATTGTCCCTTTTTATTGTGGATTTAGAGTACACACAAATCCCACGAGTGATTTAATATAGTAATGATAGGCTTCCTCTGGTAGTGAAAAAAAGTGCTGCATGTTTTGCTGTTTTGAAATAAGGTATGTTTACACTTTTTTGTTCTTTAATTTTGTAGGCTAATGGAGATAAGAACATTTAAGGGAATTTTATAGACTGAGTTTGGGACATTTAAGAGAATTGCCTTAAGTTTATATAAGAAGTTGAGTTTAAAGGTGTCCAGGAGTAATTCTTTACTAGAGGCTCAGTGCATGAATTCCTGCACCAGTAAAGTCCCTTGGCCTGGCCTGCAGGATTGGGCCAAAACTGACTCTCTAATATCCCCTGAGGGGTCTTGGATTGTGAGAGGGTGCAGGCCAGGCTGGGGGACCCCACTGGTGCACGATTGGGACCAGGGAGGGACTACTGAGGGCTCCAGGGCTTGTCTGGCCCATCTTGCTCAGTCCTGATTGGTTGGATCCCAACAGCAAACTAACCTACTGGTCAAATCATCTGCTCCCTGATGGTCAGGCATGTCATACCTAGCGGTTGTGCAGCCTTAGCATGTCATTAGTATATATCATTGCTTTGATTGGTTGAACAGACGACCAGACACTTAGCATATTAGGCTTTTATTATATAGGTTTGCTTTAGAAGCAGTGCCTTCTGGGAGCCCAAACACAGTAAAGCTCACTCTCCTAAAAGATGCCTATTGAAAGACATGTTTCACTGTTTCAACATCTTTTTTTTTTTTTAATCCTCACTTGAGGATATTTTCTCATTGCTTTTCAGAAAGATTGGAAGAAAGAAGGGAAGGAAGGAGAGAGAGAGAAATGTCAGGTTAGAGAGAGACATTGACTGGTTGCCTCCTGCATGTTGCATAGGAGGCAGGGAGTAAGGAGCAAACTCCCAACCCAAGTACTTGCCTTTGACAGAGAATTGAACCTGCGACTCTTCAATGCTCAGGCTTACGTTGTAACCACTGAGTCAGGGCTATCTTGAACTGGTACCCCATCAGGGCTTAAGACTTCAGATGTGGTAACATGCAAATTTATAGTATAATTTTATGTTTTTGAAATTTAGAAGTACATATTGTCATAGGGGAGTGATTAATGCACACACAAACTCTTTCCCTCCCTGACCCCATTTCTTCACCCTGCTAAGGTTTTCAGAGTTGGGGCATGTGCACAATGTGGATAATTCCAAGTTTATCTTCTAATCACATGTTCCACACTTGAGAAAAATTATCCGATTAGAGGCATTCCATTTTGATATGTTTAGTCTGAGTTTATAATGTATTACATATCTATAATAATAAAAGTGTAATATGCTAATTAGACCGGGCAGAAGGATGAAGCTGGGACTGCAGCCATGGGATTGAGGCAGCCTCCTGGGGCTGTGCGAGAGGCATCCAGGCAGCCCCCGTAGCTGTGAAGGCCTACTCTTGCACAAATTTCTTCCATCGGGCCTCTAGCATAATATAACTTGGTTAGAGGAGCTCAGTTATTACAGTGAAATTGTAGATATATTATGAATGAATTGTAGACTTCCCTAGTCAACTTCATCTTTGATTTTTACCTCAGTTTTTTTTCTTTCATTTTTAAATTGTGAAATATACCATCCATATGAAATAATATATAAAATATAAACAGTCTAAAGATAATTAGACTGTGAACATCTGAGTAACCACTATGAAGATTAAAGAATAGCCTGCTAGTATGTTAGAAGCTCTTGCTTTTTTAAAAAATATATTTTTATTTTTTATAGAGAGGAAGAGGGATAGAGAGTTACAGACATTGATGAGAGAGAAACATTGATCAGCTGCCTTCTGCACACTCCCTACTGCGTATGTACCCGCAACCAAGGTACCTGCCCTTGATGGGAATCGAACCTGGGACCCTTGAGTCCACAGGCTGATGCTCTATCCACTAGTCTAGGGGTGTCGAACTCAATCAGAGAAGGGGCCACAATCTAAAATCCAGCCTAAATCGCGGGCCGAATGGTTTACTGAACAGTCATAAACTGTCATTGTGATGGAAACGCAGCGGAGTGCAGTGATGACAGCGCGGTGCGGGCCACATTGCAAGGCCTGGCGGGACGGATTTGGCCCGCAGGCCTTGTGTTTGACACACGTGCACTAGTCAAACCAGTCAGGGTGAAGCTCTTGCTTTTAAAACTTTATTTTTCTTTTAGTTAATGCTAAACTAGATTTTACATGGATTCTGAAATTGAATGTTGAAGAAGGAAAAAAATAGATATCAGAGACCCCATGGAGCTATTTAATGAAAATCTAGAGCTTTAAGCCTCTAGTGTGGTAGAAGTACCATATTCCTCATGAGGAGTTAGTAGTTGTGTAGCCAAAATAGAGGGCACCTAAGTATGGCTAGCCTGCTACTATTTAAGGCATTTTACCCAGATCAAGAGTTTCCACTGGTAGATTTCTCATTTTAAAATGGTTCTAGTTTTATTTCTGTGTATTGCAACTGCATTCTTAAGTAGCTGAATGCAAATTATATTTTAAAAAAGCTTTGAAAGTACTTTTCCTTTTGAAGATACTTGTTTTCCTGATCCCCCAGATGAAAAGATATGGATGTGGCATTTAAAAATAATTTCTGTCATTAGCTTAATTCCATGGATATAATCTTAGTGGACCGGTCTGTAACATTGATAAAGCTTTACAACATCCCAGTAGAGAGTACCTAAGGTTATTTATTTAAAGTGTTATGTTTCTTTTGGGTGGGAACAGTAGGCCAAGTTCAAGTCCCAACTCGGAATTTGTGTGTGTCTCTTTTGAAGGGGGGAAGGGACTCTGGAATATGAATTATCAGCACTTGTTAATCCTGAACATGCTTCTGACTCATGAGTGGCAGCAGTCATGGGAGCAGCTCCAGCCTTTCTCAGCAGATGTCACTGTTACTGTGTATGTTGAAGTATTTACAGAGGACAAAAGAAACAAATGACTAATATAGAGTTCATGTTTATCAGTTTTGCCAAGTATATTTAACATATTCTTAACTCATATATTCTTTGTATTTAAGAGATTTAATAATTTTTAGACTTGAAGTGATTGCTAAATTTGGGTGCTCTTAAGCATCTTCCGATGAATGTTTTTATTGTTTTTGTCCAAATTTAATCTGAAAGCATTTTGCTTTTCTTGCTATCATAATTTTTGGCAACTGAAACTTAACTTAAACCAAATGAAAGTTAATCTAAGTCTGAGCTCTTATTAATGAATGTTTTTAGGTCCCTTTATATAGTAACTTGACTTTATGCAGGCGTTCTGAGGATTTTTAGAAGATGCTTTGCATCAATTAGAAATTCCTCTTACTACCACATCCTTTTCTAAATAGTGTTGGTTAAAGTGAACTTCACTAGGTATTATTTCATATTTCTTCCCTGAGAAAAGTTCTTTTACTAATTATAATCAAATAGTTGGTAACCCTTAATTTTTCATAATTAGGAAATTGAGGTTTAAAATAAAAAGGAATTTTAAAAAGAGTGACTTTGTTCTCAGAATTGGAAATAACTTCTCAAAGCCAGTTATTTTTATGTGATTACGTGTATTAATTATTCCTGGCATGAATTAAACTTCCATGATAAAATGTTTTTCAGGTTAATGAATCAAAAACTATTTTAAAGCTCTGTGATTTTGGGTCTGCTTCACACGTTGCGGATAATGACATAACTCCTTATCTTGTCAGTAGATTTTATCGTGCTCCTGAAATCAGTAAGTTTCTTCAAATACTTTTTGACCTGGGCTATCATATGTAGTGGAAACAGCATATTTAATGTCTCAGTACTATTTTCATCGCACTTTAGCAGCTGCATGGGGTCATTCACGAGGAAGGGAACCTAACAAGTTTTTCCTTCTCCAGTGGAATGGTGGTAAATGGGATAGGAATCTTGGCCTTGTCTGGCAAGAGTAGCAAAAACAGTTGTGGAAAATTCTTGACTTTAAAAGACTAGTCTTGAGTACTCAAGGTCTGATAATCAGATATATGAATTGTGTGGGACCTTTGTTTTTTCTTCTTTGTAGAGGCTGATTGCACCTCCACCAAAGGTGAAATGATAAAAGAATAAATATACATTTTTCTCTGTCCCTTCGATTCCTTCCCCACTCCCTCATTTTTTTAGGTTTTAAGTTTGTGGTTCTATTAGGAATTAATGGGAAAGAACATGAAACTAATGCCATAAGTGAGTTAGTAAGATTGTGGTATATAGTTCAAGCTACAATTAATACCCCTTTAATGGAAATAGTAGTTGTTACTATCATATACTTAACTTCTATTTTGTTTTTAGTTATAGGTAAAAGCTATGACTATGGCATAGATATGTGGTCTGTAGGTTGTACCTTATATGAACTATATACTGGAAAAATTTTATTTCCTGGCAAAACCAATAACCATATGTTGAAGCTCGCCATGGATCTCAAAGGGAAAATGCCAAATAAGGTAGGACATTAATATGAACTTGTATTTATTGAAGATCTCAACAGTAGTTTCCCATAGTCTGGTGGATTGCTTACCCTTAACTCATAACTAATGGCTATAAAATGATTTGAGAGAGATAGTTATGTGGCTACTCCGATTCCTTTAGCTCCTTCTCATTATTAGAGGTTCTGATGATCCAAGAACTATCAAAAGAGAATAGAACTCTTTTTTCCCCTCTAAAATCTGTCTTATGTTTTTCTCTACCCTCTTGTAGTAAGCAGATGATAGCGACCTATAGTTTAGGGTAGAATTGTAATTGAGGAAGAGAGAATTAACATAAATTTGTTAAGCACCATATACATATGTTTCATGTGTCTGTTCTTCCATAAGCAACAGTGTTCTTGGGAGCACACCCTTATGGGTAATAGCATGAACATGCTTGAGAGCTGTAATGAGAAAAAGATGCAGGTCAGATTAGTTAGATGGAAGGAAGGACTCAGTCATTAGAGAAGGAACTTGATAGCAATCAGTTTATTAAAGATTGGAAGTTAGTTGGGAAAGGAAGAAGGTATCAAGTAAATTCACTTGAAATGACATCTTTCTGACAAACTCTTAGTGCTTCAGCTATCATAACATCTTTGATTAACACAAAGCATGAACTTTAGATTTTTATAAAAACGTCTTGAGAGCGTATCTTAGACTTTTGTGATTTCAGTTTATGTTATGTTGGATTTATTTAGAATAAACAACACAGAAATTAGCTGTTGGTATTTATTTAACTAAGATCTAATTTTTCATTTTAGAGCTATTTGAGCATAATTTGTAAAATGTCATTAGGTTTCTTAACTGCCAATAGAAAGGGCCCCAATTGTGTAATCATTTTCCTATCTAAAAACAAATGATTTTAAGTCTTTGCTTAAACCTCAATTTGGAATAGTGAAAGCACAACTTTATATCATAATTGGTTTAAGCCCATTGCCGGGGGAAATATAATAATTTCATATTATGAGTTGTTTTAGGCATGACAATTTTGCTTTTTTTTTTTTTTTTTTTTAATATATATTAATTGATTTCAGAGAGGAAGGGAGAGGGAGATCAAGAAACATCAATGACGAAAGAGAATTATTGCTCAGCTGCCGCCTGCACACCCCTTACTGGAGATTGAGCCTTCCACCAGAGCATGTGCCCTTGACCCTTCAGTCCACTGAGCCAAACCAGTTAAGGCTTATTTGCTTTTTAAGAGAGTTAAACTCTTACCCTAGCTGGTTTGGTTCAGTGGATAGAGTGTCAGACTGTGGACTGAAGGATACCAGGTTTGATTCCGATCAAGGGCACATGCCTGGGGTTGCAGTAGGGGGTGTGCAGAAGGCAGCCGATTGATGATTCTCTTTCATCATTGATGTTTCTATTTCTCTTTCCCTCTCACTTCCTCTCTGAAATCGGTAAAAATACATCTATTAAAAAAATGAAATAAGAGAAACTCTTGAGAGCAAGAAATACAAGATCATTTTCAAAAGAGAAAGTAAAAGCAAAGAGACTAAATTTGTGACTTGTTATGTACTAAATTGTTAGTAAGCCAGACTATTGCATAAGTTTAAAAATGTTTTTTTTACTTTGTTTTATTTCCAGATGATTCGGAAAGGTGTATTTAAAGACCAACATTTTGATCAAAACCTCAATTTCATGTACATAGAAGTTGATAAAGTAACAGAGAGGGTAAGTCTCTTTTAAGTGTGCAAGATTAAATGACTATCTTATTGTTAACAAATGACCTGGGTCATACTAAGAGCTATGAATATTTTGAAACATTAAAATAATTTCTTTTTGGTGTTGGTTGACCCCTGAATAAAATGCATCAGGTTATGAAAAAGATGAAGAAATTTAAAAATGTTTGTGTAGTATGAGTTTATTTTTATTATAGGTCATATTTTGGACCTTCTCATCTGTTCTTTTGGATCACTTTCTTGGCCTGGCCCACCATTTACCTACCTTCCATATTGCTGTCATAGTGATATTTTTTAAAACAAATCTGATTATGTTACTCTCTCTGCTTAAAAACCCTTCGTTGGCTTTCTTTTACCTACAAGATAATATATTTAAATTTCTCAGAATGACAAACTAAGGCTTCTATGATATGAACTCTGCCATCTTCAACAGTGTGGCCTCTCTTCACTGAACTCTGTAAACCCTACCTTTCCACACTTGGCAATTAGCTAAAGGGCATGACGTTTCGTTCACAGACCATCCTCATCTTATTGGTTTCCTATATTTCCTCATACCTAAAAAAGAATATGTATTCAATTTATTTTATTTCAAGCCTCAGGTGAAATATACATTCTGTGTGAGCCTTTCAAAACCTCCAGGTTAAAGTAAGGACTTCTTTATTTTGGCCCTGTTATACTATACTAGAGGCCTGGAGCACGAATTTGTGCCCCAGTGTCATCCCTCGGCCTGGCCTGCAGGATCAGGCTGAAACTGGCTCTTCGACATCCCCCAAGGGTTCCTGGATTGCAAGAGGGCACAGGCCAGGCCAAAGGACCCCACCAGTGCGCGATCAGGGCCAGAGAGGGATCACAGAGGGGAGCGTGGTAAGAGGGGACTCCAGGGTATGTCCAGCCTGTCTTGCCCAGTCCCGATAAGCCAGATCCCAGCATCAAATTTACTGGTCAGAGCGTCTTCCCCTGGTTGTCAGTCGTCATAGCGAACGGTTGAGCGGCCTTAGCATCTCATTAGTATATTAGACTTTGATTGGTTGAACAGATGACCGGGCACTTAGCTTATTAAGCTTTTATTTTATTTTATTTTATTTTATTTTATTTTAAATAAATCTTTATTGTTCAGATTATTACAAATGTTCCTCTTACCCCCCCCCCCCCCATTGCTCCCTTCCACCAGGTTTCCACCCCACCCTCTGCCCTTTCCCAACCCCCCATTGTCCTCATCCATAGGTGCACCTTTTATTAAAATATTTTATTGATTTTTTTACAGAGAGGGATAGAGAGTTAGAAACATCAATGAGAGAGAATTATCAATCAGCTGCCTCTTGCACACCTCCTACTGGGGATGTGCCCGCAACCAAGGTACATGCCCTTGACCGGAATTGAACCTGGGACCTTTCAGTCCTCAGGGCAACATTCTATCCACTGAGCCAAATCAGTTTCGGCAAAGTGCACATTTTTTGTTCAGTCTCTTCCCGAAACCCCACTCCCCTTTTCCCAAGAATCGTCAGTCCACTCCCCTTCCATACCTCTGATTCTATTATATTCACCAGTTAATATTGTTCATCAGATTTTTGATTTTTTATATTTTTTTAAATAAATCTTTATTGTTCAGATTATTGCAAGTGTTCCTGTCTCTTCCGCCCCTCCTCAATTGTTCCCCTCTACCAGTTTCCCACCCCACCCCCTGCCCTTTCCACACCTCCCATTGTCCTCATCCATAGGTGTGCAGTTTTTATTCAGTCTCTTCCCACACCCTGCACTCCTCTTTTCCCCGAGAATCTTCAGTCCACTTCCCTTCCTATGCTCTGATTCTATTATATTCACCATTTAATATTGTTCCTCAGATTTTTTAAAATAAATTTTTATTCTTCATATTATTACAAATATTCCTCTTTCCCCCCCCCCCCCCCCCCCCATTGCTCTCCTCCATCAGGTTCCTACCCCACCCTCTGCCCTTTCCCCACTCCCCATTGTCCTCATCCATAGGTGCACAGTTTAGGTTCAGTCTCTTCCCACATCCCCCTCTCCCCTTTTCCCCAAGAATCGTGAGTTCACTCCCCTTCCATACCTCTGATTCTATTATATTCAACAGTTAATATTGTTCATCAGATTTTTTTTTAATTTCCTTGGTTTTTAGATTCACTTGTTGATAGTTACGTATTTGTTGTTCATAATTTTTATCTTTATTTACTTTCTCTTCTGAAAGAACCCCCTTCAGCAATTCATATAATTCTGGTTTGGTGTTGATGAACTCCTTTAGCTTTTTTTTATTAGTGAAGCTCTTTATCTGACCTTGCAAGAGTGATAGCTTTGCTGGATGGATTATCTTTGGCTGTAGGTTCTTACTAGTCATCACCTTGAATATTTCTTGCCATTCCCTTCTGGCCTGCATGGTTTCTGTTGAGAAATCAGCTGACAATCGTATAGGTGCTCCTTTATAGGTAACTACCTTCTTTGCTCTTGCTGCTTTTAATATTCTCTCTTTGTCTTTTGCTCTTGGAATTTTAATTATGATTTGTCTTGGTGTGGTCCTCTTTGGATTCCTTTTGTTTGGAGTTCTGTGCGCTTCCTGGACTTGTAAGTCTAATTCTTTCACCAGGTGGGGAAAGTTTTCTGTCACTATTTCTTTCAGTATGTTTTTGATATCTTGTCTCATCTTCTGGGACCCCCATAATTCTGATGTTGGTTCGCTTGAAGTTGTCCCAGAGGTTTCTTATATTATCTTCAATTTTCTGGATTCTCTTGCCTTCTAGCTTCTGTGGAGGAGTGTCTTCTGGCTCTTTATGTTCCAAGTCTTTGACTTGATTCTTGCGATCTTCCATTCTGTTTTTAGGACTTTGTATAATATTTTTTATTTCAGACAATGTATTCTTTATTTCTTATTGATTCCTTATTAATTCTAGTTGATCTCTTTTCATATCCTCATAGGTCTTATCGATCTTTTCTAGGAAATTCTTGAAAAACCTTATAAGTGTAGATTTGAACTCTATATCCAGTCACTTTTTGTCCTCCATTTCTTTCGTTTGTAATCCATTTAGTTGTCGCATTTTGCAGCTACAGATAGGGTGGGGTTTCAGTGTGGAGCCTATAGCACATGTGTCAAACACAAGGCCCTCGGGCCAAATCCGTCCCGCCAGGCCTTGCAATGTGGCCCGCACCGTGCTGTCATCACTGCACTCTGCTGTGTTTCCATCACAGTGACAGTTTATGACTGTTCAGTAAACCATTCGGCCCGCGATTTAGGCTGGATTTTAGATTGTGGCCCCTTCTCTGATTGAGTTCGACACCCCTAGCCTACAGCCTTGGCTTCTGTCAGCCCCACCCTATGGGGCTCCTGGGTCTCAGGGTCCTTCAGTACTCGCTGCAAGCGCCTCTGAGAGAAAGGTGCCCTCGATTTTCGCCTGCTACCAAACAGTCTAGGCTTTTCCCCAATGAGCCCGGTATTGGGGTTCAGTTCAGTTGGAAGTGGAGTTGGAGGTGGCGTTCAGAGCAGTCTGGAGCCCCTGTCTCCTTCCCGCCAGGGCAATCCCCCAGCAAGCCAACCGTCCCTTCTCTGCACGCAATGTGCGCACCTCCGGGACCTCCTTTCGCCGCTCCCCCGGGGTCTGGCCTAGAACTGGGGTTCAGAGCAGTCAGAACTGGGGCCCAATACAGTTGGAGCTTTTATCTCCTTCCTGCTAGGGAACGCCAGCCAGGCACTCAGCCTCCCTCCTCTCCGGCTCCATCCTCTCTGCGCGCGCCGCGTGTCTCCGTACCTTGGGCTTTTACAGCTCCTCCGCGCTTCCTTCTGGTTTTCTCCTTGCTTCTCGTTGTAGAATTTCCAGTCAGTCGACTTTCCTGTAGTTCTGGGTAATGTCCATTTTATATTTTAGTTGTATTTTATTAAAATTGTTGTGTGCGGCTGTGGCTAGGTGTTTACCTGGGCAGCCATCTTGGATTCTCCGAGATCCTACCCATCAGATTTTTTTAATTCCCTTGGCTTTTATTTTCACTTGTTGATAGTTACATATTTGTTCATAATTTTTATCTTTATCTTCTTCCTCTTCCTAAAGAACCCCCTTCAGCAATTCATATAATTCTGGTTTGGCGGTGATGAACTCCTTTAGCTTTTTTTTATTATTATTTGTGAAGCTCTTTATCTGGCCTTTGATTCTGAGTGATAGCTTTGCTGGGTAGATTATTTTTGGCTCTAGGTTCTTGCTATTCATCACCTTGAATATTTCTTGCCATTCCCATCTGGCCTGCATGGTTTCTGTTGAGAAATCAGCTGACAATCGTATGGGTGCTCCTTCATAGGTAACTACCTGTTTCTCTCTTGCTGCTTTTAATATTCTCTCTTTGTCTTTTGCTCTTGGAGTTTTAATTATGATGTGTCTTGGTGTGGTCCTCTTTGGATTCCTTTTGTTTTGGGTTCTGTGTGCTTCCTGGACTTGTAAGTTTATTTCTTTCACCAGGTGGGGGAGTTTTCTGTCACTATTTCTTCCAATATGTTTTCAGTATTTTGCTCTCTCTCTTCTTCTGGGACCCCCCATAATTCTGATGTTGGTTCGCTTGAAATTGTCCCAGAGGTTTCTTACACTATCTTCAACTTTCTGGATTCTCTTGTCTTCTTGCTTCTGCAAAGGAGTGTCCTAGCTCTTTGTGTTCCAAATCTTTGTCTTGATTCCTGCGATCTTCCAGTCTGTTTTTTGGACTCTGTATAATACCCCGTTTCCCCCAAAAATAAGACAGTGTCTTATATTAATTTTTTCTCCCAAAGTTGCTCTAGGTCTTATTTTCAGGAGATGTCTTATCTTTCCATGCACTAGGTCTTATTTTCGGAGGATGTCTTATTTTTGGAGAAACACGGTATTTTTTATTTCAGGCAATGTATTCTTCATTTCCTTTTTATTTCTAGTTGATCCCTTTTTATATCCTCATAGTCTCATTTATTTTATCAGCCTTTTAAATTCTTGAATAATCTTATATCTGTAATTTTTAACTCAATATCCATTCTTTTATTTTCCTCCATCTCCTTCCTTTGTATCCTGCCTCTTCTCTGCATTTTAGCTGCTTCCCTGATTTGATGGAATAGTTTTGTGTGCTAGGTGTTCTGGTAGAGCCCAGTAGCACAGCCTTCCCAGTTACCTGAGGTGTACAGTCTTGGTGCTGCCTTTTGTGGGCTGTGTGTGCAGTCTTGTTAAGCCTTGCATGTTGTTGCTATCACTGGGAAGCATTGATCTCCAAGCCAATTGACTGTGAGTTATTAAGCTTTAAGTATATAGGATGTCCCTAACTTTGTCAGAGCACTTACCACTTCATGGTATCAACTCATTTACATGTCTTCCTGTTTCCACTTCAGGGTAGAAAAAGTACATTTCTAACTGAAAGTATTTACTAGGTTACCGTATTTTTTGGACCATAAGACGCACTTTTTCCCCCAGAAGTGGGGGGGAAAAGTCCCTGCGTCTTATGGTCCAAATATAGCCTACACATATACTTTTTAAAAAAAGTTTTTTTACTTGTCCGGCTCTAAAATGGTTCTAAATGCTGCTGTTTACTTTACAGGGTTCATTACATATGTTTATGACTGTGATGTTGGGTTTTAATGCACATAAAATATTTTAGGGCACTATTTGTTTCAGAATCTTTTTTTCTTCATTTCCCTTCTCTAAAAACTGGTGCGTCTTATGGTCCGAAAAATACGGTATTTTTATTTTTTTATTTTATTTTTTTAAATATATATTTTATTGACTTTTCTACATAGAGGAAGGGAGAGAGACAGAATGCTAGAAACATCGATGAGAGAGAAACATCGACCAGCTTCCTTTCAAAAGCTCCCCCTCTTCCCCCCTCTGGGGATGTGCCCGCAACCAAAATGTATATGCCCTTGACCAGAATCGAACCTGGGATCCTTCAGTCTGCCAACCAATGCTCTATCCACTGAGCCAAACCAGTTTCGGCTAGGCTATTTTTAATTACTTAACAATATTTTTGAATTCTCAGATTTTAATACTTAACTAAGTTTTAGAGTTTCTGTTATTATTTTTATGAAATTACATTATAGTATGATTTAAAAAAAAACAAAACAAAAACTCTTACGTAACCTTTTTTATTTAGGTTCCTTCTCCCCACCCCTCCCCCATACATTTTATCGATGTTTTTACAGAGAGGAAGGGTGAGGCAGAGAGAATTAGAAACATTGATGAGAGAGAAACATCAGCTGCTTCCTGCACAACCTCCACTGGGGATGTGTTCGCAACCAAAGGTACATGCCCTTGACTGGAATCTAACCAGGGATCCTTGAGTCCGCAGGCCGACATTTTATGTACTGAGCCAAACGGTCAGGGCAACGTTTTCTTATTGCTTCTTGAAAAAACAGGATACAGGAAGTAATGTAAAAGTTCTAAATGAGTAGATGGTTATTCTTATAAATTAATATTTTTGGTAGACAAAAATCTGATGTATTATATGTTTTTAGTAAATTTATTTAGAGATATGCATTTTAAAAATTATTTTTAGGAGAAAGTTACTGTCATGAGCACCATTAATCCAACTAAGGACCTGTTGGCTGACTTGATTGGGTGCCAGCGACTTCCTGAAGACCAACGTAAAAAAGTACACCAGCTAAAGGACTTATTGGACCAGATCCTAATGTTGGACCCAGCTAAACGGATTAGCATCAACCAGGCCCTACAGCATGCCTTTATCCAGGAAAAAATTTAAAAGAGATGAAGAAGCTCCAATGGTTTGAGTAATTAAAGACTGAAGAAATTTCACAGCAATTTATTAATGTATATAAACTTATAAATATTTCTCCATCAAATTTGAGGAAGCATGATTATATTTGAATTAATACCAAGGGTGATGTTTCTTTTAGAAATGTTAGTTAATCTGTTTTGTGTCTTATGTGAAATTTCACTGTAGAACTGTTTTAACTGCCAAGACTGCACAAAATTATAGTGCTAATGTATATGGTTGCAGTTCATATAAAAGGCAAAAGCATCTTGTTATAAAATAAGTAGTAATGCTGGGTGGTTGATTTATTTTTAGCAGACTTGGCTTCATTTTGGTCTTCAGGTAAAATGGCCAGCATAAATGCTGTTTATATTCACATTTTCCTAGGTGTGTGTGTGCAGGCCACAGCAGCATGCCCTTGGTGTAGTCATTGCCGAAAGGGGTCTGTTCCTTCTTGAGCCTGCCTGCAGGGATGGTCTCCTCTTTTAAAGCAGGTTGTGTACAACATTCAGTACACTGAAGGTAAGCTAAACCATCAACATCACTGGTGTTTTAAGATGTTATTTTATTGGAACAATTGACAAATGAGGGATATTAGCTTTGTGGCAGAATTCCCTGCATGTGTGATACCTGATATTGTTTTATTTTTGGCATTGCAAATGTGGCATAGTTACAATTTCTGTTCTGTTCATCACATCTAAAATTGGAAGAGTATGCGCTTGATGGATAGAGCGCCTTCAGTGTACTGTTTCTTATTAACTTTAATTTTTAAAAATCAACTTGCTATAGACTTTATATAAATTTTTGTTAAATGCAGTTCCTAGTGAGATAGAAACAATGCTTAGTTTTCATTTACTAAATTACAAATGTTGAGGCATATTCTGAAAGTCCTCATATTTAAAAGTTACATAGACAACATAATGAAATTTTTAACTATTTGTATGTCATTTTGAAAGTGTACTGCTTTATGGTAAAAGTGCTTTCATTTGTTCATTGTTTTCATTATTTGTGATCATGTTGTCTTTCAATACAGGCATAAACCTTCCACTCTTGAACAAAGCAGCTGCTTTTTAAAAGCGGTAATTGCTTCTTTACCTTTTATTTCTTTTGTAAATGAAGCTTTTCTTTAAGAATGTGACTTTAAAGTGTTGTCTATTGCATAAAACAGTTGACACTCACTTATTGTAAAGTGAAGATTGTTCTACTGCATGTGAAGTGGCCATGCAGATTTCTGTATGTTCTCAGTATGCATCACTAGATAATAAAGTCTTTTGTGAACAAGGCATTTGTAGCCATTTTTAAAAATTTTTGTCTTCAGTGCTGGTTTATGGTTTATAAATAGTTAAAAGCAACCTTTTGTTTCTTCCTTAAAGTCTTTAATAGAATTATTTGCTAAGATGTAAGGCTAGCCAAAGTTTATTATTTTACTTACCTCGTCAAAAAATTCTACAAATATTGTCAGCTTTCAGTATAGTGAGGTAATTCCTGTAGGTTAGGGGGTATAAAATCAGGATTTAACTAATGTTTCTGCTATTTTCTCACTTTTCCTTTTGATGGTGCGGAAAGAGAAAAAAGGAAAACGGGGCACAGGCCATTCAACGCCTTCTCCAAGGGGTCTGATTTGCTGAGACACCAGCTTCACCTTCTTAACAAGGTTATTTCTGACAGCATGTGTAGATAAACATTTAGCAACAGTTTAAAACAAAAATCATGTAAATCAGCTTGGTTTTGCAATACAAAGGACTTTATATTTTTAGCATGGTAGAAGAGAATTTTCAGAAATTTATATCTTTTCCCTTTGGGTGGTAAGATTAATTCTTGTCTCCCTGAAGAATATGGAAAGTAATCAGATTTTATGGGCTTAAATAATATTTTTAAATTGTAAATGGGATTTTTTTTATTCACCAGGCACTAATTACAACAAGCATGCACATTTTGTGCATTCAAGAATGGAAAATCAGTATAGCAGCCTTCTGGTGGGTTTTGCTCCACTTAAAGACATGAACTACAGCCAGGAAAGCGATAGATGATATAATAAGCCAACTTTGAATCTACACCCCATCTCTTCACAGTTTAGACTAACTAAATACAAGGTAGTGCTCATCTTCAGGTAGAGTGAGCCTTGTAAATGAGGCATCACAGATGCAGCTTTCTACCTAATGGAATGGGTACAGATTTCCCACCATTATTTATTTTGGTGGTAATATGCTGCATATTCAAGTCTTTTGTAGTTATTTTTACTCAAAATAGTTAACATTTTGACACTTCTGGTGATTTTCATGGCTTCATTTTATATATTTATTTAAGTAAGTTAACTTCTACTAGAAACAGTTCATCTTATGCCTTCGAAATTGTTACATATTACTTAAAAAACAAAGTTGCTTGTTACTTGTTCTTTGTGTTTTAGGTGCAGCTCAGTGGAAGATGATGACAACCAGAAGACATGAGCTAAGGTTTCTGTCCTATAAAAGATTTTTTTAAATCCTCCATTTTATTTTTGTCTAATTTTTTTAGTTTTCGGCATTATGATTTGGGTTTCATTAATGTTTGGTACTTAGATTAGTAGTGCTCTTGTGCTCATTTGTAAAGTACCTGTTTTATCATGCTCTGCCTATCCCCCCATCCTTTCTTTCCTAAAATAATAAATAGTGGTCAAATTTAGTGATATATAAGACTCTTGAATGGTGAGATTCCTTATATATATCATGGTTTTTTAATTTGGTTTCTAAAGATTATTAGGAAAACAGCAAACATCAAAACACAGTCTTCAGCTTTGGGTATCTTATCTCCTTGGCAAATGAAAAAGAATAGAAACTGGAATTTTAGGAACACTATTCAATTCCTTTAATAACTTATTCTCCAACTTGCCCTTTAGTAATTTTATTTTTAACAGGTGCTCCAGTCATGGTCTTAAATCAGGCAAAATATTTAGAGCCATTGTCAATTTTTCTTAGGGGAAATGAGAGGTGATATAATTTTGATCTTTTATGTCAAAATTAATCTATTTGACAGGAACCTGTAAACAGTCTATATAAATGACATTATTAGAATTTGTAACATTTGCTGAGGCAGAAATTTGGAACTCTGTAAGACCTCTGTTGGATTGAGGTATTTAGTGAATAATCCTTTAAAAACTTGTATTAATGTTTCAGAGTTGCTATATAGTTTTCAAATATAATTATCTCATGAAGATTTTGCTTTATTACACACTTTATGGCAAAAATGATACAAGTATATCAAGTGATTGTCAGACTTAAGGGCTCATATTTTAGGACATAACTCTCAAAGATGTCATAGTTCTTTCTGCAGTTGGGGGAATAGTTGAGATTTTAAGGAAGCATATACATTTTGGACGCAGTTCTAAATAAGGTCCTATGTGGACCTTATTCTTGAAGGTTATTAGAAATTAGGTTGGAATTTTGAGGCTTTGAAAGGATATAGCATCTTGTCATAAATCTTAAAACCATCCATTACTTTTATTTAACCTTAAATTTTGATTGTTAGCATCCTGTTTCTTCATTCCCCAGTGCCTATCTCATTCCACTCTACTTTTTCTCAAAAATATTTTTATGTTTTAAAAAGAATTTTTACTTTTTACCATTATAATCACTACTTTTTTCCCTAATTAAAACAAATACTCAGGATAGTTTTATAATACGGAAATGTATGTTTTATGGTATGTGGTAGAGGCATTACTGAGAACAAATACTATATTTTACTTGCACTTAATCTATCATTATTTTGTAGCAGAACTCTAGCTGGCTAGGTAGAAATAAAATCTCTGAAATGAAATAAAGGAATCACATACCTGAAAAGTTATGCCATGTAGTTACGGAATGCCCTTTTAAATGTTGGAGATAAGAAAGAAGCAAGTTGTTCAAATGTGTAACTTCTTTCCCTTAGTTATAATAACATTATTAAAATTGGGTTTCATAAAATGTTTCTTCATAGTATCCTAGTTCAATCAAATATTCAACATGAATTTTATTCTGTTAGATGTAAGGCCCTCATATTATAGAAATGATCAATACACATTCATCTGTGTTTTTCACATGTCAGTAATGTACACTAAATTGAGTTTTTAAATGTTTTCCAGTTATTTTGATAGATATCATCATGGCATCTTTAATTGTTCTTTTCCTTCTATATGTAGGGTAAGGGACAGTTCTTCTGAAGAATCTTTCCATTTAGTGATCAAGATATGGAAGCTGAAATCTGAAAATACTCAATATGCATTCTAATTGTTTGTGGTATCATTTGAATTGTAACTCACATTTTAGCAGCAATGTTCCCAATCAACATATTAGGGGAAATATAATAAAATATGCCACTTGTTAACTATATTGTCTCCTGATTTTTTTCTTTGCTTGGTTATGTTAAGTTTTAAATTAAAGACACCATTTCTTACCTGATGTTTCTTAAGTACTGTTTTACTGCTGGTCACAGATATGGTTCAAAAATGATTCTGTGCTAAAATATGATTTGGAACTGCCAGGTTAAATTAAATATTTAAAAGTTTTCAGAAGACTGAAAACTGATGTACTATGTAAATCTCAGTGATGAGGAAAGGTGTGGGAGAGAATCTTACCAAACTACTTTGTGGAATCTGCCCTTTCACACCTGCAGCTTGGAATCAGCCAATTTAGTATGATCACCCTTTCAGACATCAAAACATTTTCGAAGCAACTAAGTACAGAACATTCACCAAAGGGTATTGTGTTCATATTTTATTTTACATGTATTTCTAATTTGGCTTTCTTAGTGATAAACGCATAGTAAGCAATGAGATAATTCCCTTTCTGTAATGACTTAAATTATTTATTGCAGATGGGGAGGCCTGATGCTTATCTTCAGTCTAATCACTCTTCATTTTCTTCTAAGGAAATGTTGTCAGTGTTTTATTATTTATTTTATTGATTTTTTACAAAGAGGAAGGGAGAGGGATAGAGAGCTAGAAACATCGATGAGAGAGAAACATCAACCAGCTGCCTCTTGCACACCCCCTACTGGGGATGTGCCCGCAACCAAGGTACATGCCCTTGACCGGAATCGAACCTGGGACCCTTCAGCCCACAGGCCAACAGCCAAAACCGGTTTCGGCTGTTGTCAGTGTTTTAAAACAGTGAATAAAATATTTATGAGGTTCTGTGCTTCTTTAACACATGCAAAGCAGGATTGGAAATTGAAGGGCCAGTGTCTGGCTTAATAGAATGTGCTTGACCACCTGGAGCTACCCACCACCAAGAGGCCAGTAGACTAGTATGGTTGAGCCCTGATTTTTTAAAAAACGAGGGCTGAATGGCATTGGCTCAGGGAAGCCTTGTAAAGACCCGATGTAGTTTTCTACTTGGGCTGGCAAAAGATTAAGAATTATATAATCATCTAAAATGGTTGACAAAGGCCATGAGATCCTGTTTTTATTAGGGAAAGTAATTCACAGAGGATTGGATTGGGGAGGATGTTGCTGCCAACCTTCAGGAGAAAAGCCATTTTTCTTGTGCTTTCTCTGATTGATGAAAAAGCATTTCTCTGTTAAGATCCAAAGAGTTAAGTTTAGACCTAGAGATCTAAACGTGGAAATTTATGAGCAAGCCAAGTTTAAAATATCCTGAACAAAATTTTTATTTTTATTCATGGCTCTGTTACAAAGTTTTCTAAATGTTTATTCAAAAATAATGGTGAAAGTTTGTCTCAACAGATCTGATAAGTAGACAAATATTTGAATTTGTGTATAACTACATCCCCCCTCCCCATCCCATCACCCATGATGAGTTTATCAAAGTCATATGTGTTGCCTATTTGAACAAAGTTGTTTCCCCCATCATCCTACTGTTACGCCCAGACTTCGTGATCCCAAAGGACCACCAGGGAGCCGAGTCCGATGCAATAAACAAGAGCCTGTTCCATGCTAGCATGGGCTCCTCCCACTCATGCCGGCAACATGGTGGAAGAGAGCAAATTTTGCCCAGTCCATGGGTTTTACTCTGGTTGGTGGTGATGTCACTGCCTCGGCTAACCCTGATTGATTGGGTGAGGGCTAGGGATAACTCCGCCCTGCGGGGCGGAGTTGGGAGCTCATTCTCGCCCCGCCCTGCCCTTTCACCTACAAAATGGACTTGAGGTGGCTACATGCATTTCCTACACAAAACAGCCTCATTTTAGGGCTCAGTTTAAACAGAAAAAAGATTCCTGGTGACTATTTTTACTAAGTGATCATGATATTAAAATTATTTGTCTCTACTTCATAATTGAAATCAGCAATGCTGCTAATATATTTTAATGATCTGGAAGGTATTACAGTAGCTCCTTTTTGTTTAGGCCTAATGATATCCTAGATAAAGTAGTCCGGTTGCTTCCAAAAATTTGCCCTTCCCTTTCCTGTACACTCCCTCCCCATCCCCAGCATGCGTGTGAACACTCAAACGCACATGCATTCCAAAGAATCAAAGCAGTCCTTTACTATATGATCAGCTTCATGTAACTCCTGACTATTCCTTGATTACCACTACCTCTAAAATGCTCCTCCCTACTCTCCTATAGAGAGTGGATTTTAAACTATAGTTGTTCTCCTTAACATTTATTTATCCTTTTATTCATCTCTATCACAAATATTCCCTCTTGGGGGGAGTGAGGGCAAGGACGAGGAGAATGACAATCCCTGACCTCCTTTGACTTCCTTTGTTGGTTTGCGAATGGGGAGAGGACTTTTTCATGTTTACCTTTGGGGGTTAATGTTTGGAGTTTTAATCAGGTGGCTTTATTTTAATGTTTAAGGAAAACTAAATTCAACTAACCACTAAAACCAAAGTAGCCTCCCCAAATATTCAAACTGAGCTGAGCATGTTACATCAGGTTTTTCCTTCAGTGTGTGATCTGAGAACCACCTGCATTAAAATGACCTGGGATGTTTGATTATTTTGTAGGTCCCAGGCCCCACTCCCAAAAATTCTGTTTCTTTAAGCCTGCAATTGAATTATATTTTTTTGTGTTCCTGATTCTTAGGTGCAGTGTCAATCCATAGTTTCCCTTTTCACCAGTTAATGAGTTAAGCTTTAGCTTAATTTGAATTTCAACTAACCAGGCTTAAGATTTCCAGCAACCGCCGGGACCAGTTTGGCTCAATGGATAGAGCGTCGGCTTGGGGACTGAAGGGTCCTGGGTTCGATTCCGGTCAAGAGCATGTACCTTGGTTGCGGGCATATCCCCAGTAGGGGATGTGCAAGAGGCAGCTGATCGATGACTCTCATCGATGTTTCTAACTATCTCTCCCTTCCTCTCTGTACAAAATCAATAAAATACATTTAAAAAAAAATTTTTTTCCAGCAACCAAGAGCCTTGGGGGGTGCAGTGTGGGGAGCGGGATTTCATTACATGAGATTCTGGCTTCCCTGTGGACAGTGACTTTTTCCCATTTTTTCTTGGACATTTAAAAACTTAGATTTAAGTGGAAGAGGGTTGTTTCATGCCTAAACCTACAGTTAGGCCCCAAAAGAATCTTTTCAAATAAAAAGGGCCTGGGAAATGGAAAGTTTATAAGAATTCATGGGAGAACCATGAGGATCTTATATATTAACAAGATAGCAACTTCCTTAGCATTTAATGGTCAAGTACCCAAAGAATAGGTCAAAATAATAGACAAAAGAGATTGTGGAGATGGGAAGGGAAAGAAAAAAGATAACCAAGTGGGAAGAGTTTTTAAAAATCACTGTTAGAGGTAACTATTGTGTGTGTATAATAGAACACAATAATTATAGCAACAATAAGACTATACAATTTATTGATGAATTATACAGGGAAACAATCACAACAAAAGAATATTTTGAATAGAATAGTTTACTAAGTGAAACATTAGTAAATATTTGAAACAACATGCAAAAGATTGTCCAATACGTCACCTTGGGTTGATAAATCCAAAAAATTTCCACAGGTTGTGCTCCATATCACATCAAGTAGTGTGTATGTGTGTGTGTGTGTGTGTGTGTGTGTGTGTGTGTGTGTGTGTTAATATCTGCATCTCGAAATGATGAACCATATTTTAGCTGGGCTTCTTGGAAGAGATTTACTCATACTGAGATGTATGGGGGGAAATGTTATTTTTGCTCAATGGGTGAGCACTTACCCTTAGCTCTAAATGAAGGTGATAGACAGTTTAGTTCTGAATATAGAATGGCCTGTTCAATACTATATGTTTTCGGTAAAGTTCCTTTTTGGTCCTTGGTGCCTTCATTTCTTCCCTCTGATTTTCAGAAAAAGACAGAGGTAAAGGTGAAACTGATATTAGAGACCTTAGTGGTAGGCAAGGTCTTGTTGAGACCACTTTAACCAGTGATTGAGTTGACTGTGCAGTAGTAGGACTGGTTGAGAGTTCTTGGCATGGATTTACAGTGGAGGTTTGGGGATTTTTAAAGTTATAAGTTGCCATCAATTGTTTTGCTGTGGATGAACTTTTTAGCGATGGTGATCTAGAATTGCATTTATATTTGCTAATACTACTGTTCCAATTCCATTGTGAAGCATTTTGTTCAAGCTTGCAAGAAGCAGAATTCTTTTTCCTTTTTTCTCTAGTTTTATCTACACAAGTTGTCTGAAGACTTACAGAGTCAGAAAGTTTTGGCTGTTTCATTTTGGGTATGGTTTTGGAGGAAAAGGGTCGTTCAGTAACTGCTGGAGTACAGAAGGAAGTTTGTAATCTTGGTCTCTCTTTTTGTATAGTAGTATGTTGTAATCGTTCCATTTCTAATAAACGAGTTATCAAAGGTTTAATACACCTTTCTGGAGATTCCACTGTTGCTTTCCAATGATCAGATTCTGAGAGGACTAATTTGTGCAAGTCCAGCGTATTGAAAGGAGGAGGGAGAAAATCAGGATATGGAAATACTTCACTTGGTTCTACTGTGAAAGATTCTTGAACATTTTCTATTGTTTCTGGCTTTAAATTCAGGTCCATCTTTTTAAAATAGCTGAATAAAGTACCATTTGCTTTTTCATTTTCTGATAAATCACTTTCATCTGTTAAATTGTCTTCTACACTGCTGTTTCTATATTTCAAACTCCAAGTTGGAGCAGATGAAGTTTCACCATTGTTGTATTCTACAGTTAAACGTAAATTATTAAGAGAGTCATTTCTGTCCTTAAGAAAGTCTCCATCAGCATAGGGCCAGCAGAGACCTAATGGCATCGGCAGTTCAGAGTAAGAACCAACTTGCTTATCAGCTGGAGCACTTGTTAGTGAATGGTTCAGAGTGAAGAGCCTTATGGGATTGTTGGTTGTATTAAAGCCAATTTCCATTGAAGGTTTTTTGAAATCCCTTAAAAATGATTTAATTAATAAATGGCTTGTTGACTAAAATTAAAATGCTATTAAATTATAATATGTAATCTTTATCAAATAGGCATTTTTATGTTCTACCTTTCTGAGGAAACATCTAGTGGAGCTTGGATTTAAACTCAGGTGGTAGGATCCCATGTCTGTGATCCTAGTCTGCACTCCATTATTTGTTCTTCTGTTAATTTCTTATATATATTAACTCATTTAATCCTCACAACAATCCCTTACGTAGGTACTGTTATACATTTTCTTTCAGTAGTTTTTTGTTCTAGTATTTCAGATAGTTAACTCATTTATATTTAAATTTATTTCACTAATTTAGGGATTTACAAAATATCCTTTTACCTGTTGTCCATGATACTTCCTTCTTTAAGAGGATAACTCCATAACTGAAATATCCCTTGTTTATTATTCTGATAACAAAAGCCATGGGCAACATTTTAGTAAAAGCATTTAAAAAAAAAAAAAAAAAAACTTTAGAAAAGGAGTATGATGAATAAAATCCCACCTGTGTTCTTTTTTGAGCATGCTCTGACAAATTAATTTCTAGCATCAGTTGCTCTACTGGAGTTTCCAAATGGTCTATAAACCAGAAGACTTTTAAACACTATCTTAGTCCCCACTCTTCTTCTAATACTGATACCGTGTTTCCCGGAAAATAAGACATCCTCCGAAAATAAGACCTACTTACAGGTTTCCTTCTGAGTGAAATATAAGGCATCCCCCCAAAAATAAGCCCCCTCCCCCCTAGGCTAAACATGAGAGATTTGGTCCACTGATTCTGAAAGAAATGGAGTCACAAGAAATTCACCAGGAAATTCAAGAATTGGATTGTTATGATGATGTTCCAGAAGATGATTGTCATTGAATAAATGAGTAAATTCTTGATACTGTAGGATTCAGTTTGTCTGGTTTGTGTTGACAACTACCGTATCTCCGTACCATATCCAAGTAATAAATTTCCTTTATTTTCATTTAACAATAAATGTGTACTGTATTCTTCTTCATGGAAAAATAAGACATCCCCTGAAAATAAGACCTAGGGCATCTTTGGGAGCAAAAATTAATATAAGACACTGTCTTATTTTTTTGGGAAACAGCGTAGTTGTTGTAACTAAGGGATATATAGTTCCAATAAAGAAATAATATAGTAATATATATTCCTTTGAAAATACAGATACAATTTTTTACTGTCTTCACTGGAATTAGAATCCTATCTAATAAAATGAATATGCAAATTGACCATCACTCCAACACAAAGATGGCCACCCCTATAGTAAAAAATGTTAGCCCCCATATAGACATAAGATGGCCGGCCGGGGAGGACAGTTGGGGGGAGACCAGACCTGCAGGGGAGGTTAGTTGGGGGAACTAGGCTGGCAAGGGAGGGCAGTTGGGAGTGACCAAGCCTGCAGGGGAGGACAGTTGGGGAGACCAGGCCTGCAGTGGAGGGCAGTTGGGGGCAACCATGCCTGCAGGAGAGGACAATTAGGGGTGACCAGGTCATCAGGGGAGGACAATTAGGGGTGGCCAGGCTGGTAGAGGAGGAAAATTGGGGGCAAACAGGCTGGCAGGGGAGCAGTTAAGCATCAATCAGGCTGGCAGGGGAGTGGTTAGGGGGTGATCAGGCTGGCAGGCAAAAGCAGTTAGGGGCAATCAGGAAGGCAGGCAGGCGAGTGGTTGGGAGCCAGCAATCATGGATTGTGAGAGGGATGTCCTAGTGGGATCCGGCCTAAACGGGCAGTCAGACATCCCTCGAGGGGTTCCAGATTGGAGAGGGTTCAGGCTGGGCTAAGGGACACACCCCCATGCACAAATTTTTCTGCACTGGGCCTCTAGTAATCTTATAAATACCAACTAAACAGTGTTTACTAATGAGGCTTGAATACTATTAAAGTTACCAATATTTTACTAACAGTTAAGTATTTTATATTTTGATTAAAAAAAGGGTAAATGAAAATAATTTTCTCACTACTTCAAAATAAAATATTAACAATTTCAACTACTTTAAGCTATTTTAAGGGTTGAGACAATTACCTTTGGCAATGACTAGAAAATACTATAGTCACAATAAAGTTAATTTCCATATATATTGTAGTATTGTATATTGAAAAAACAAGATATTTAATGTCCAATTTGCAGCCATAAGAAAACAACAGCTTTGAATTGATTAAAAAAAATTCTGCAGACATGAAATATAAAGTTTAATTTTGAGTAAAGAAGTTTTAAAAGAATATAGCATTTAATTTTAAAATGTTTTGTGAATTATTTAAAGCCAAACATTTATCCTTACCTTGTTAATTTTGCCTGAAAGAATGTATATAAAAAAAAATAACAATTAATAGTTACATAAGGTTGGTTGCACTAAAAACAAACCCCCTTTTATATGAGTGGTTATTCATATGAATACTTTTTCATATATTTATAAATATAAGTATATAGACATCTAGGATTTCTTACCACCTGCTGCACTATCCCTTCCAGGGGGCAGGTTTTTATTCTCAGGAACAGGTACTTCTGAGTCCAAATTCCAGTGAGATAAATTCTACAACAATATTTGTTTTAGGATAAACTTAATGTTAAGAAAATTTTTAAAAGCTCAAGTACATCATTTGACATGTCCTTTGGGTAAAGTGTGACAAAAGGCACAAAGCTTCATGACCCCTTTGCCACCTATAAGGGTACCACCAGCATATTTGAGGAGTGTGCAATGTTCTCTTATCAAGGTATCAGCTTGATAACACTTATTAGTTGGGAAATTGGAAGACTTTTACAATAACTTATGGTTTCACTCTCATTTTATTAAAAATAATGGCACACAGGTTTTCAAAATTGAGTTTAAAAATATAAAAAAAAATGTCCTCTTCATTGTGTCAAATTCACCAGTTTCTGTATTTGAAAGCCTGTAAATCAACCAAAGAAAATTCTCTATTCCTCACATTATACTCAGCACTGACCAGCCCACTACTCATTCTGGGTATCAGGTGTTGAAAACACAGAGGAAATACTCAAAACCAAAAAATGAATAAGAAAATGTACACATAGCCGAAACCGGTTTGGCTCAATGGATAGAGCATCGGCTTGGGGACTGAAGGGACCCGGGTTTGATTCTGGTCAAGGGCATGTACCTTGGTTGAGGGCATATCCCCAATAGGGGGTGTGCAAGAGGCAGCTGATCGATGACTCTCTCTCATCGATGTTTCTAACCCTCTATCTCCCTTCCTCTCTGTACAAAATCAATAAAATATATTTTTAAAAAAATGTACACATATGTCGAAGCCGGTTTGGCTCAGTGGTAGAGCGTCGGTCTGCGGACTAAAAGGTCCTGGGTTCGATTCCGGTCAAGGGCATGTACCTTGGTTGCGGACGCATCCCCAGTGGGGGGTGTGCAGGAGGCAGCTGGTCAATGTTTCTCTCTCATCAATGTTTCTGGCTCTCTCTCTCTCTCCCTTCTTCTCTGTAAAACATCAATAAAATATATTAAAAAAAAAAAAAAAGAAAGAAAGAAAGAAAGAAAATGTACACATATCAACTGAGTATTTATGTTCCAGACATTGTGCTGAGTGCTGGCGGGGGGGGGGGGGGGGGGGGGGGGGGGGTTGTGGGATGTGTAGGAGAGGATTGTAATAATTTATTCTGTAAGAAGAGGTGATTAGCCGAAACTGGTTTGGCTCAGTGGATAGAGCGTCGGTCTGCAGTCTGAGGAATGAAGGGTCCCAGGTTCAATTCCGGTCAAGGGCATGTACATTGGCTGCGAGCACATCCCCGGTGGGGGGTGTGCAGGAGGTGGCTGATCAATGTCTCTCTCTCATCGATGTTTCTCTATCCCTCTCCCTTCCTCTCTGTAAATAATAAAATATATTCAATTAAAAAAAGAAGAGGTGATTAGTTTATTTTTTAAAGTAATTTTTTTTTTTTTAGAAATGAACTTTTTTTTCCTATCTCAAATGAAGAAATCATTTGTAAATTAAACTAAGCAGTATACAAGTAAGATGTGAGGTAGTATTAAGTGTCATCCCCACACTAAGGAGGAACTGGGAAAATTAAGCTTACAAACCATCTGAGGATTTAACTGATCCACAAAGATCATTTCCTGATAGGAAGGAGAGCTGAATCTTGGGAGCTAGGCTGTAGATGATGTTTGTTTAATGGTGTTCGAAAAATAAAATTAGTAAATTATTCAATGTTGTTTGAATTATTCTAAGTCTGGTCTCTATGTGAGAATTACTTAGGGAGCTTTTAAAAAATAATAGTTGAAAAAATACTATTGTAATTCTAATTTAGTAGGATGAGGATATGGCCCAGTTATTTGTATTTTTAAAATGTCCCCAACAGATGCTCAAGCTTCTCTCAGCTATATCTGTGACCCTGGTATACTAATGTAAACAATAACAAGGGAGAGAAATATTCTTAAATTAACATAGTAAAGGAAGCTGATGAACTGTGCTGTTGAGATCATCCAAAAAATTAATATAACCAAGTTTGTCAATTGGAAAGAAGGCCATCACCCACACGTGGAGCCAATGATGTTGCAAACTCCTTACAGGCTGTGAATTTATTCTTTTTTATATTCCACCAGCTTTACTAATATTTTTCACAAAATATGCGTGAGAAAATAAAACAATCTGATTGTAATTAGAAATGTCTCACGATGTGGAGAGAAGCCGGTTAACTTTTTCTTTGTTAAAAGAAACATTTTCCATTTGATATTCCAAATGTGCCAAGAGGGAAAAAGCACAGGACACTGTTCTCCAAGAGACAGCAGCAAGGGACCTCAGCAGCAAGTCCATGGGGTTAGTTAGGACTGAACAAGGGGAGCTGCTGCCCAAATGCTCAAGGTCAATAGCATCTGCCATACCTCATGAGAGATGTTTGACACACGCAGGCTGGTGCCATAGTTCTCACCATTTCTTCTCCCCATTTTGCTCCTCTGAGTCCTTAAAATCCTACACAGGATGTGGAACAGGCACATTTATGGGTAAGGTACAATATTGATTTAAAGAAACCATGAACTTTGGCTTCCCATCTAAAGGAGAGTAAGAAAATATTTAGAAAGCAGAAGAAGAGGACTATGAGGGTAGGGTGGGGGTAACAAAATCAACCGGAAACAAGGGGCAAGGCAGACCAAAAAAGGGGAGGGCGGGCACTAGGGAGGTGTATAGACAAAAGCTAACTGGAGATCTAACAGAATAGAAAATCAAGGCCTGGGATACAAAGGAGCTATTATCAGATAGATAAATAAAATACAGATCACAAAAAAACAAGACAAAAACAATTTGGTGAATTATCTGGAACTTATAAAGCAGGGCGGTGAAGTCTGCTATTCATCACCCACAGGTGCTCCCTGTGAAACAGAGCCTCCCAAACCCGCTTGTTTCAGAGGCGCCAGCCGGCCCACAGGCCCAGACGCCCTTTCCACTCCAAACTGGCATGGGCCCACAGCGCACTCCCGCCCAGAGGGCAGTGAGAGCTGGGAGCAAAGCCACTGCGGCAGCCAGTCCGATTGCTAATGTTCACATTTTATTGTCGCCCAGAGGGGAGGGTGGATCCTGAAGAAATGGAAGCACAGTTCAGGCCAGGTCTGGGTCAGTGGGTGTGGAGCCACCTGCTCTGTGCCAGGTGCCAGGGCGGAGGAGAGGGGGAGGACGCTGCCTTGGGGGGAGGGGGGACCCAGGTGTGCGCCCCGGTGGCTGGGAGCCCGGGTAGGAGCCTGGGAGCCGGAGGGCGGGAGGAGCCCGGGGAGGAGCCTGGGAGCCGGAGGGCGGGAGGAGCCCGGGGAGGAGCCCGGGGAGGAGCCTGGGGGCCGGAGGGCGGGAGGAGCCCGGGGAGGAGCCCGGGGAGAAGCCTGGGGGCCGGAGGGCGGGAGGGGGGGACGGAGAAGGGCGGGCGGGTGCAGAGCCTGGTGCCCGCGGGGCGGCTGCGCTCTTACCCCGCCCCTTCGCGGGCCCACGCGTCGTCCGCGGCGTCGTCCCCCGACGCGCTGCCACCTCGCGGCGCCGGCGCCTGCGCGCTCCCGGCGAACGGCCCGGCGGGCGCGCCCTCGGGCTGGGCCTTCCTGCGGCGGGAGGACAGGGGCAGCGGGCGGCCGGCGGGGCCTGCGGCTCCGCGGGCTCCCCCTCGCCCCGCCCGGTCGCTCCGCAACTACCGTCGAGCATGGGCGCCCACGGCGGCCCGTTGTTCCACCGGGGCTGGGCCCAGGCCCGAGCCTCTGGGGGTCACCCGGCCACGCTGCCGCCCCCCGCGCCCCCGGGGCGTCCTGGGCCCCGGGGCCATCGTGCGTGGGCAGGTGGCCGCCAGGGGCTCCGACGGGCGGGATCACGGCCTCAGCGGAAACCCCCCCCCCCCCCCCTGCTTCCACACACACCCCTCAGGGGAGCCCGGGCTTCCTGCCCTGAGCCCCCATCCCGCCCGCCTTCAGCCTCCAGCCTCCACCCCCTCCCGGGTTACAGGAAGCCAGTTCTGCCCTGTGCTAAACTGGACAAGGCTAATCGGAGTACACGGAAATGTATGTGAAGTTCCACTTTGCTTATAATATATAAAACCATTAATACTAATAGTAAAAGAAGGAAGTATTCCTGCCCAAAGCAGGCCTGCCCACCTCTGGTCAGTTTCTGCTAAGTCATTGCTATCACAACAGAAAGAACAATTTTTTTTTTTTTTTTCTATAATACATTCAGATTGTGGGAGGCCAATTTTGCCCTCCGAGTTCATATCTCTTAGTTTAGTTCTATGAAATAAGTGCATGGAGTAGGGGGAGGAGAGAAAAAAATACATGTATATATACACATATAAAATATGGGTATATCATTATTTATACTAGTATATATAGTATGTAAATAAATACTAATGTAAGTGAATACGCATTTGTGACTGCCATATATTTGTACATGTAACTAAATACTAAAAAATGTTTGTCAAATGTAGATGTCATAAGTATTGACATTTGAAGAATTTTTTGCTTTGCTGATGGGTACTATGGCATTCTGTTAGCTTGATTCACCCCCCAGAATGCTTTATTAAGCATTTGATTGCACTGGTTTAACATTTAGGGGGAAGGGATCCCTTGCTCCTTTGAGTGTCTTCCAAGGAAAATGCACATGGGTTTCTCCAATCTTTGGTTCCCATCTCCACCCCCTCCTTCCTCTGCATTTCCATGTTCCTCTAAGAAAGGCCTTTCCTTTTTTTTTTTTATTTCAAGAAATAAAATAACTAAAAAAAAAGCCTTTTCTGACTTCATTTTTTAAAAAGTCCTTCCCATCCATATTGCTCTATTTCATAAAACCATTTTTATTTCTTCTCAGTACATCTCATGATCTTGTTAGTCTTATTTGCTTTTTGAATTATCTGTCTCTTTTCAGTAGACTATAACCCTAGAAGAGGGCAGGGGCCTTTCCTGTCTAATTCATTGCTGAATCCCATCACTTAAAATTGTGCTGGGCATCCAGGAGCAGCACATTAAATAAAGAAGAAGAATTGTAAGATTAACCTATGCCTCTTTGGTTATCTCCCTCCTAAGTGTGTTCCTCCTTCAGACTGTTTTCTATACCACTGGTCTAAAGCAAATGCCCTCCTAATGCCTAAGGTAAAGTTCAAATTATGTAGCCAGGCTTAAGCATCTGCTCATCACCTTCCAGTGCCTACAACATGTCAGACACATTAGACAGGCCCCAGCTGGGCAGCTCAGTATCCCCATACGCCAAGGTTGCAGGTTTGATCCCATGTTAGGACATACAAGAAGCAAACAATGAATGCATAAATATTTCCCCCTCTTTCTCCCAAGTCAATGAAAAAAAAAAAAAAAGAAAGAAGAAGAAGAATACGTTATACATTTTGCAGTTTTTCTAAACACTCCCCCCGGACATACACTATGCTTACTTTTTCTATAATTGCTCCTCTTTTTTATATCCCCCCTTCTTTTATCTGCTTAAGTCCTGTTTATGTACTCTAGCTCACAAATCATCTTCCCTGATACCTCAGGAGAAATAAATTGCTACCTCTTCCAAGAACCCTATTTTAGGTTATATTATAATGATTTCTTTACAACTCCTTACTATTACATTATAATTATAGACTGAGTGGCCAGATTATTATGACCACCTGACGTTTGTAGGCAAATTAGCCGTACACTGCATCATATGGAATATGGAAGCTGAAGGCCTGTTCAAACACCTTTGCTGTCTGCAGTTATCAAGATAAAACGTCTTCAATTCGCAAAGGAACTTAAGGATTAGACAGTCGAGCATTGGAAAAAAGTCATGTTGTCTGATGAATCACGTTTCCAGTTGCATCATGCAGATGACAAAGAATTTCACAGAAAGAGCATGAAAGCATGCACCCCACATGCATGAGTACAACCCTTCAAGCTGGTAGGGGCAGTGTTATGGTTTGGGAAATTTTTCTTGGCATGATTTGGACCCTTTATTTATTTATTTATTTTAAATATATTTTATTGATTTTTTTACAGAGAGGAAGGGAGAGAGATAGAGAGCTAGAAATGTCGATGAGAGAGAAACATCGACCAGCTGCCTCTTGCACACCCCCTACCGGGGATGTGCCCGCGACCAATGTACATGCCCCTGACGGGAATTGAACCTGGGCCCTTTCAGTCCGCAGACAGATGCTCTACCACTGAGCCAAACCGGTTTCGGCATGATTTGGGCCCTTTAATTCACGTGGGACAGCGTCTGAAGAGCACAACATACCTAAGTATCGTTGCTGATCAAGTTCATCCTATCATGTTGATGGTGTATCCCAATGGAGATGTGCCAGAAACAAATCAGTTTCACTAAAAGAGAGATGTTGACAGGAAGCCAGGAAGGCTGGTCAACAACCTTAATTGCTCTAACCACTCACCCTTTAGTTGAGACATTGTTAGCTGAAGCAGCCTCCACCTTGTTTGTCCCGTGAAAGTTTCTGTTATTTCCTGCCTAAGGGCTACATGTAAATTTCTATTTATGTTGCCTAAGATGTTTTCCCCAAAGCCTCAATAAAAGGGATAGCAGGGCCAGAGCAGAGAGTAGTTCTCCCACCAGAGTTGGACTACTGCCTGGCCCCCCGGATCATCAAATTGAATTTCTTCAAGTCTCTTTTCATTTGTGTGCGGCCCTTCTCCAGAACCCGAACCCTGAATTGGAACCCTTTCCATGCGGGATGTGAAAGAGATTTCTACATCCACGAAGGGACTTCTGGAGGAGAACGTATTTTTCGCCTAAGAGCGAAGGAAGGAAAAAAATTACACCAAGAAAAGTGAGAGGGCAAGGCGGGGCGAGGATGAGCTCCCAACTCCGCCCCGTAGGGCGGAGTTATCCCTAGCCCTCAAAACCCCTGGACCGGGAGAAATTCTCTCTCTTCCGCCATGCTGCCGGCATGAGTGGGAGGAGCCCATTGCTAGCATGGTGAAGGCTCTTTTGTTTATTGCATCGGACTCGGCTCCCTGGTGGTCCTTGGGGATCACGAAGTCTGGGCATAACAGATGGGGGCTCGTCCGGGATCCCCAGGACCATTAGGGAAAACCCGATCCGGAGTGTCTGACTGGCCGCGGTAGGTGTGTGCGTGCTCTGGAGGGACGTAAAACCCCTTGTGGAATTGGTGCCCGAAGACGCCTGGTGGACGCACCATGAAGGCCACGGGCAGGAGAATCAGAAGACATTCTGACCTCCCGGGAGGGCCCGAGAGGGACCCTGATAGGGAGAGGGATAAGCCTCTCCCAGGACAAGGTGAGCGGCGTGAGCCGTTGCCTCACCTGCGGAAAGTGAGCCTTTCCCAGGTCTGAGTTTGGTATCTGTGGGCGACATGGCGCCCCAGGATGGAGCCGGCGAAGTGTGGCCGGCGTGGCGGTGCGGGGCCCCCTGGCGGCGTTGGGTCGGAGGGGGGCTCCCGCGGGGCTCAGTCTTTGCGTCGGAGTGCGGCTGGGCAGTGGTGGCCTTGCTCGGGGAGCAGGCACCTGGGTTAATTTGCTGGCTGCCTGGAGAAGGGGAGGCGGAGCCGGGAAGCCGCTGGGGCGACCCGCGCTTTCTCCTCGGCACCGCCTGAGTAGCATGGCTGGGGCTGCGGCTGAAGCAGCCTCACCCAGGGGGCCTGGGCCCGAGAGGCCTGGGCAGGCGTGGAGGCATCCGGTCGCTGGCGACATCAGGTACCGGAGAAGAGCTCAAGGGCAAATCTCTGTGCTCAGTAAAGAGAAAAGGCCAGTTCAAAACGAGTGCGCATAGTTTTGGGCTGTGCTTAAAAACACTTTTCTAGGTACAGAATAAATTTTAAAAGTGGTGGAGATAAATTAAAACTGGTTTCCCAAGTCATTGTAAGCAGCTTTTGAAATTCCCCGCCATGAGGTGGAAACTAGATGGTAATGGTAACAAGTTTACGTGAATGGTGGTGAATGGCCGTGAATGGCCGGGAGTCTTCAGCTAAAGAATGTGTTC